CTCTCTCTCTCTCTCTCTCTCTCTCTCTCTCTCATACTGCGCATTACGTATCATCGTTATATATATATATATATATATAAATCTGTGCCGTACTTTCTCTCGTTACATGTTTCTATACATCTCATCTTTTTCCTGTAATTTATTTGTCCCTACTTCGAGAGAATCCTTTCGTATTTTTTTTTTGTTTCTTTCTCTTTCTCTCTCTCTCTCTCTCTCTCTCTCTCTCTTTCTAATGCGCTCAACACAACACACACGTAACACGTTTACACTAGCAATCAGTCTCTCTCTCATATCATCTTATATTTTTGTATCTTTTCATATTTCTTTTTAACTTCTACAAACATTCGTAAATATTTGAAAATGTGAAATCATAAAAAAATAAATAAATAAAAAAAAAACAAGTCTCAATTTGTTTATCTTTTGCTCTTATTTTTTATGGGTTTTTTTTTTTTTTTCGTTCTTTCTAAACTTTTAATCTGATATCAGCGCCATGCATGCGTGCACACGTTAAACGTAAATCGTAAAAATACTTGTTGTGTTAACTCGACTCAGACATTTAAACAATTATTTTATAAATTATCCAAAGTACGAGTGCATTTTTATGAACTTTTGAAAAATCATCAATGAAACATTTGCGAAATAAGTTACACGTAGTACATGCATGTTTGTTTACACGTGTAATAAGTATTCACATGTATCCCTCTCTCTCTCTCTTTCTTTCTTTTCGTTCATTTGTCCAAGTTTTATTTTTTTTTTTTTAATGAATATTATATTCTTTATTTGTTCACCTCTCAAATGATTCTAACCGTCATTATTAATGTATTAGGCATATTATATAACGTACATATATATAATATATATATGTATATAATATAGTTTACATTACGATACAATACATACATACAAGGTGTGCCTCCTCGTGCGCCGTCCGACAACAATTTTCTAATAATATATGTATATATATATATATGTAACAAAAACGAAAAATTGTTCTTTCTTTCTTTCTTTCTTTCTTTCTAAAACGTTCAATTAATTCAATGATCGATCATTAGAATAAATCGATTAAATCTTTTTACGTATTTCGCGATCATTGATCAAACGCGTACAGCAACGAACAAATCGTTTTTTTTTTTTTTTTATTTCTTCATCTTCTTCTTCTCTTTTTTTTTTTTGTTCTTTTTTTTTCTTAAAGTTTGACACGAATAATTTAACGCATACATTACACTTCGTTACAGAATTCGTATGTATGTGATTGTGTGTACGTTAATATTGTGTGTACTTTGTTTATAATAATTTAACACTCTCGCGTTTATTTACAAACGGGCAGCTTGCCTTAGTATAATCTCTCTTAAATCAATTTCTCTCTCTCTCTCTCTCTCTCTTTTTCTTCTCCTCCTCCTCCTCCTCCTCCTCCTCTTTCTAATTTTCATTTTTTTTTTTATTTATTTATTATTATTATTATTTGTATTTCTTTTCTTTTTTTTTTTTATAATCGCACAACGGCCGAAGTAAACTCTTGGGGACATGTTTCTTTGTCTGTCTGTCATTTTATTATTATAACTTTTAATTAATTCACATTTATTTAATCAAAAATTCATAATACGATGATTTTTTTTTTTTTTTAAATTAAGTTTTCTTATTTGTTTATATCGTTTGTTTATTTGTTTGTTTGTTTGTTTGTTTGTTCATTTATCCTTTTTATTTTCGTTTTTAATTGACGCCGCATCGATGCACTTTTTTATTAACTTTTAACTTATGGCTTTTTTTCTCATTCTCTCGTTTGATTGAAAAAGAAAAAAATTGTTTTGTTTAAATCTTTTTATTGATTCCTATTTTTTTTAATTTTCATACTTCTCATCTGTCTGTCTCTCTCTCTCTCCCTCTCTCTCTCTCTCTCTCTCTCTCTCTATCTATCTATCTTTCTTGTTCTTAAGAAATGGCAAAAATAATTGGATAAAATAACATCGTATACAGCAAAAGCTTACAGTTTAATTTAAAAATCGATTTAGAAAGAAGAACACGCTCGCGGAACAAGTTAAAAGCAGTTGACGTTGTTCATTTTAATTTTTTTTTTAATTTTTTTTTCTCTTTCGAAATTGATCCGTCAGTTACCTGTGGACGGTCACGCGAGTCGCGTAAAATTACGCATCTTTTGTTTTTTTTATTTGTTTTAATTTTTCTCGAGTATGAAGAAGAAGAAGAAAGAGAAGGAAATGAAGAAAACAAAGAAGAGGAAGAAGAGACAATATTTCTTCTCTCTTTACATCCTTTTTATTATTATTATTATTATTATTATTATTATTATTTATTATTATTTTCTTTGTGTGTGTGTGTTTTTTTTTTTATTAATTAATATTAATAATATTATTATCGTTATTGTTACCATTATTATTATTATATATATATATATTTATATCATTATTATTAATATTATTATATTACTATAATTTATTATTATCATTATTATTATTATTATTATTATTATTATTATTATTATTATTATTTACTATTTATTATCATTACGTCGATGGTTTTAGTGTGGAACTCCCTTAAATGTTACACTGTTTTTATATATCGGAGTGATTTGCTTTCTTTTTATTAAATATTGATTTTAATCACATATTAAACCGTTCAACAAGTTACCATTTCTCTCTCCCACTGGAGAGAATACTCGTAACAAAACAAAATCAAAAATAAAACATAAATTCAAAAGAACAAAATTCGTCAAACCAGACGTATACTTCAGCCGTCATCGATATATAAACATTCCTCTTATATAATGTTACAAAATATAACGGCTCATAATAATAATAATAATAAGCATCGTCATCGTATGTATTCGTGTAATATATTGCAACAAACCCTTGCGAGATACTCGAACTTTGTAAAATAGGGCCACGATAAGTTGTTGATGATCGTGTGTGTGGTTCAGATATTTTTTTATCAACGTCGTCTCGTACTTTTTTCCATTAAAAATTGTTCATTCTTATTCAGTCATATATACGATATTAAATTAACTAATTAACCAATAACATTTCGTTTAAATGTTTCATATTACGTATCCTCTCATACATTTTCATGTAAATTTAATTTACGTTTACACGCAAATATAAATAATTGTGTGCCGTTAATTATGACACTGGACTATATAAAAACAAAAATCAAACAATTCACATTACAGATTAAAATATTATTTTTATTAACACTTAGCCAACCAATCAGACAGATCATCTACCCATTTCAATGTAAATTCATCAATTTAATTTAACTTGCTCAAACATGGTGAAAATCGTACAGTTCATTCCCCCCGCCCACATGGTTGGCTGAGTGTTAAGAAAAAAATAAATCAACAAATAAATTATTTTTCTTTTTTACATTTTGATGACTTACAATAATTATTAGTCCACTTTCATAACCAACGACCCATATCATGTAAGTGGTGTATGTGCGTTTTCAAGTACATACTTAAGATATCTATGTAAGTATATATATATATATATACGTAAATATGTCACAAGAGATCTCATTTGATTGCATTTTCTTGATCTGTTTCAACACGTTAGGAGGAAATTCGACGACACCATTAAATTGACAAACAACAAGCCATCTTTCCTTCTTCTTCACATTATCAAATATTCTTCGATATTCGAAGTATTCGAATTAAAATTACATTTCAAGTTAGAGAAAAAGAGATAAAAAGTAAGAGAGAGAGAGAGAGAGAAAGAGAGAGAGAAAGAAAGAGAGAGAAAGAGAGACCAAGATAAATTGAAAGCAGATCTCCGATACGATTCGTCCATTAGATAGTACGTGCAGCCACGGAATTTGTCCTAAATCCCTTGTTCCAGATTCCACTGGAGTAGGACTAGGTGGTAGGTGAGAGGGGGAGGAGTTAAGGGGTTGTTAGGGGATAGATAGGAAGCTGACGTGGTTAATTTTACAGTTACGTTCGATCGAATTCCTTAAATACTTCATTAAATGTTCGTCACATTTTCAATATTATCATTGATAGTCTAATTCTTTGACTTTACACCACCACCACCCCTCCCTTTCGTCATTACTTTCACATTTTTTTAAAACCTTCTCAAAAAAAATAGAAAAACTAAAAAAAAAAATCAAAGAAGGACGACGTCGAATTTCAAAGAGAGAGAGAGAGAGAGAGAGAGACATATACAAAAAAGCTCCAAAAATGGGGGCACCGAGTAATATGTGGAATTGGTGGGTGGGTGGATAAATAGGAGAATGAGGCAAAGGGGGATGGAAAAGGGCTCGGCACCATCAGCATGATGATCGGCTAGCGATCATTGTGTCGCATTATTACATCTATACATAAATACATACAAATATATACACATATATAATACGCTTTTATCCGTACGTACGTATGCATATATACTCATACATATATATATATATATTTATTATATATATATTTATATTTATATTTATATGTATATGTATATGTATATTTATATTTATATATCCATTATTTTTTTCTTGTTCTTTTTCCTTTTTCTTGTTCTTGTTCTTGTTTTTTTTTTGTCTTCGTGTTGAGAAAGATAGAGAAGGGAAAAAGAATACAAAAAAATGGCAACTAACCGAGAACGAGAGATCATTTAATAATAACGATAATAATATAGTAATAATAATAATAATAATAATAATAATAATATTTAAATATAATATTTAATATAATAACGAACAAAAGTGGAACGACGAAGGACTAGCTAGAGCCAGTGTTTAACGCGCGTAAAAGCACGAATTTTTATTTTTCTCCTCCCTTGCTCTCTTTCTTTCTCTCATTAAACATACACTCATCACTCATACACTCACGGATTCTCTCTCTCTCTTTCTCTCTCTTTTTTCCCCACTTTCTTTCTCTCTCCCTCTCTCTCTCTCCCTCTCTCTCTCTCTCTCATTTTTGTCTTCTCGGTTTGTTTTTTCTTCTCTCACACTTTCTCTCCATCATTCTCTCTCTTTTTCTTTCGTTCTCTTTCGTTCTCTATCATCATCATCATCATCATCATTATCATTCGTTTTCTATCTCTTCTTAGCAATTGCAGTTAGTGTTCGATGGGTTGGTCGGCTGATCGGTAAGTCGTTGACCTTTGGCCTGGCCCGCACCACCTGCCATCAATGTTGGATCATTGTCCAACGATTCGCTCATCTTGTCGCATATTATGTCAACCAGTTGTTCAAAGACCGCCTGTTTACAACAACAACAAACAAACAAATATTATTTATTTATTTATTTAAAAAAATAGGCTACGAATATCGCGAATATGAAAGGGATTGGTTGCGTTCAGGGACAGAAACAATGGCGAGATTTGGTATTTCAGTTCCTAATGTCAATTATTAGGTCGAGTCATAAATAACTTCCATTTTTTATGAGACAAATGCACTGATAAGTCAGTTCTGATGATAGTCCACATCAGAAGTTACTTATGACTCAACCTAATATTATGATTATCATACCAACCTCTCTTTGTAAATATATATATATATATATTTAATATTTGAATCCTATAATTAAAAATTGGTTTAACTCAATCCCATTTAATCGTTCTCCAAGCCCATGTGTATTTTAATCAATTAATCAGTATTACGTAAATATAAGAAAAAAAAGAAAGAAATTCTTTATACCTTGATGTATTAACAGCCACGTGAAAGTTCTCATTAGCTTGAGATATAATTGATTTAGCAGTCGCTTTATGTTAGTTGCGACCTAATTATTAGCGTGCTCATTAAAATAAGTAGAAGAAGGGTGAGTGTAGGGGAAGGAAAAAAAGTTTTGCATAATTTCGAAAGAAAAGTTTCAAAGTTTCATAGTTTCAAAGATGAGTAGTGTTAAAATTATAAATCATGTATCAACGATCATTAATTATTAATAATCAAAATGATATATCGTTAAAAACGTATATAAATGATTAGTTATATATATATATATATATATATATACGAATATATGAGAAAATAAATACGCGTTAAACTTCGATACAATTCTCTTTGGTAATTAAATTTGTCTCGTTTAAAAGGAACCAAAAAAAAAAAAGAAAAAAAGAAAAATATATCGGAGTCGGCGCACAGACCTCATAGAAAAAAAAAAAACTGTTATCGATTTGTACCCTACGATCGGTTATTTCTCCCACGTGGAAGTCTGATTAATAGGCGTGCACGTTATAATAGTAGTCGAGGACAATGGATCGATGGTAATGGAAAGTTCGGTACACATCGGTTCACTCGAATGTATACGCCCACGCGACTTACACACACACACACACACACACAACAAGTAAAGTAAAGTATAATAATACATAGAAACACTATCGGTAAGGAAAGAGTCATCTGTGACTCCTATGCAAACCTTCTCTTCCTTTATTCATCCATTAACGAGATTAATTAATATCCTTCTAACTTTGTTTACTTTGTTGTCTATTTTTTTTTTATTTCTAACTTTTCATCCCTCCCCCTTTCAATTATCTAACATTTGTTATAGTTTAACAATATTAAAACTGTTAGATTGTCAATAATGTGATGTTAATTAATACGCGTGTTGTACAATTTAATCAGATTTCTCTCACAGTGCATTAACTTAATTGACTCGAATAAATTATTTCTTCTTTTTGTTTTGGTCCATTTGAAAGATATTTAAATGGGATAATAATTAATACTAAGAGATAAGATGATAGAAAAATATTGAAACAACAATTTGATGAAATATACAAAATAAACAACAAGTATGTTAACACTTTACCGACCGGCAGTCGATTAATCGACTTTTATTCCACAAAATTTACAGATAAATATTGTTTAGCATTAATATCATTAAAATCAAAGATTTTATTACATTTGTTTATCCTATAATAATTCAAAGCGTACAATTTTACCAGAGCCTAAGCCGAAACTGAGCCGATGTTTCGGACGATATGCGGCTGAATGGCCGGTGAAAAAGGGCATAGGATTCTCGAATCGCTATTGGTCTCGGTAAAGTGTTAATGTAATATTTCTAAATTTGTTTTTTATGTTAATCATATATTTATGTATATATACCTTGACTTGAATGTTCTCCTTAGCAGATGTCTCAAAAAATTGGACTCCTAATTGATCTGCCAATTGTTTACCCCTTTCAAAGCTGATCACCCTCTCGTCTCCCATGTCGCACTTGTTGCCCACGAGGATTACCTGGGCATTGTCCCACGAGTAGGTCTTTATCTGCGTAACCCAGTCTTGAACCGAATTGAACGATTCCTCGTTCGTGATGTCATACATCAGGATAAAGCCCATTGCACCTCTGTAATAGGCCGTTGTAATCGTTCTGTATCTTTCTTGACCAGCCGTGTCCTAAAATAATGTTTATAATTAATTATCATTTCAATTCGTAACTATTAACAAATAATTATTCGTTGAAATGAATTTTTATTATTCGACTGACTAATTGTTTAAGTGTTTATACTTATAATCGAAACTTTATTTATATTTAATATATAAAATATTAAATATAAATAATATTAATTTTAATATATTACAATTTTGATATATAAAAATATATAAAAATTAATATTATTGTATATATATATATATATAATTTTATTAATTAAACTCAAATTATTTGGAAATAAATAACGAATGTTAAGTTCAATTAATATAAATTTATAATTATGTTACTCTAACAATATTTAATTATATTTATATCTAATATATCTCACTGATATAAATAAATTGTTCATCCTAAAGAAAGATATATGGTTATCGATATAACATATATCTGTGTATATGACGGATACGTGTAATGGTTTTGAAAGTATCGATGATATGTAAGGTCAAGTCACATGTATGCAACTGCATGTATGTATTTGTACGTACATATATATAAACTTGCTTACATATATATATATACCTATTTACACATGTATAACGGAAATAATATACACATATTCTAATGCAGAGTATATTAACGTTTACCTGTACAACGACATAGCGATTATACTGACCCAGATTTGTAGCTTGACCCTTTTATCGTTTCTGAAGACGGTTTTCACTTTAAAGTCGATTCCCACGGTCGACACGAAGGCCGAGGTGAAAGAATCGTCCGCATAACGGAAGAGAAATGACGTTTTACCGACCGACGAATTGCCGATTATTAAAAGTTTGAACATGTAATCAAAGTTCTGATCCGCGGCATCCTTTTGCCACTTTGGATCTTGGCTCGCCATCTGCACACACAAAATTCAAATTACAGAATTATTATAAATATAATATTTTACAAATTTCTATCAAGTAATTTGATCAATTTGATATAATCGATTATTATAACGTGTCCATGTTTTAAATGAATAACAAATTGAACGAGATTTGAATGTTCATTTTATCATATTTGTTTTGTATGTATGCTGCTAATTTAACACATTAAGTCGCCCAGCCTGTTTCGGTTGAGTTTCTCGTCAGGCCCAAAATTTGACTGTCAGCTCGCCGTAAACGTAAAAAATATCAACAATGCGACCCAAGTATATTATTATATTTTATTTATCGAAAATAATAATTTTCTTTTGAAATGTGATAAGTTTTTCCAACTATAAAAATACTCTAACTTCAACAAGAACAGCGTCACCGTATACGGTGATAGGTCTCCCGGAGAAGCATGCTTGTCTCCGGTATCCGGTGCCATGGCGACGAACGTGTTAAAAGGGTGTTAAATGATTGTAGAAAATGTTTGAAAGGAATGAAAGGGTTGAATTGAGCAACAGATGAGTTTAAAACAGAATAAGTTCGATGTTGAAATCTACGATCTACTACAACAACACCTATCGTTTTACACATCGTTACTGGATATTTAAACCACCTACGATAAGCTCGTTGGTAAAATTCTTCTCGTGTTCTCTTTAGAAGATCTTTCTCTCTCTCTCTCTCTCTTTCTCTTTCTATTGTTTCTCAATCCTTTGAATCTTTTATAATGTTCATGTTACAATGCATATCAGTGAACACGATCGTTGTGGGTTTCTTTATCAATTCGAACAACAATATAAATGATAATATATTTTGATCATAGACTATGATTTCAAAGGAACATATATATATATATTTCAATTCGTTGTGTTTTGTGATAACATAAATAAGTTTAATATAACGTGGGAGAGTTATATCGAATTTATATAGAATAGTAGATATATAAGTTTATATATATATATATATATATACAGAGAGAGACAGATATAAATACAAAAGATAATATTATATAATATTTCGAGTACTAAGATGGAAAATTTATTCGATAGTCTAAGATTTGTTTTGTTTTAATTTTTATTATAGTTTATATTTTTATTATATATAAATAATAAGTATATTATTTATATTTATTATATATTATATAATTATATCTAGTAAAAGGAAAAAGAGAGAGAGAGAAATAATGTAGGTAGATAATTTTTACAAAAGCTCAACACACGAAGAGGATTCTTTTTTTTTTTTTTTTTTAAATAAAGCTACCCCGAATAGCTTCGACAGAAAAGCTAAGAATAGAAAACGATTTTCCCTCTGGTTTGCGTTCATTTCCCGAAGGAACCGTGACCCGATGTGTTTCTCTATTTCCACGACCTCGATGCCAAAACAGGACCAAGGACGTTCTCTCTCTCTCTCTCTCTCTCTCTCTCTCTCTTTATCTCTCTCGAAATCGATCGTTAAATATAATTTTTATATATATTTTTTTTTATCTAAATATTTGATAAAAGAAAAAAATGAAGAATAGAAATAAATGAAATTTAGATAAATAGATAGATAGATAAATAAATAAATAAGGATATTATGGTACCGGACGTTGATTAGGCGAAGTAATTTCGACAATGGACATCATTCGAGCCATACGCGTACGTAAAACCAAAACGGAGTCCTTAATGTTCGATGTTTTGGACGAACCCTTCTGATGTCCTTTGACCATCACCGTACTTCACCAATATCACCACTACCACTACCACAACTACTATCAACCAATCATCCACTTTAACGATATTTTCTCGTTCCTTTTTATTTTCAACGACAGACTGCTAGAAAAATAGATTCCAATAAGTTTGAGAACAATTTCTCGAGCTTGACAGATCCTAGACAAACACGTTTCATCACGCCCTTATTCTTCTTCTTCCTTCCATTCCCATTCTTTCTTTATTTTTCTTTTTCTTATTTTGCTTTTATTTTTATTTTCTATCCTTCCTTTTTCGCTTCAATGCACCTCTTCGTCTTTTCACAAATCCGCAAATATATAGTTTATATATATATATACTTATCTATTCATATACACATATATATATATATATATATATATATGAATAGATAAATATAGGATAATATATATATATAAATAAAAGTAATGTATATTTTATATATATATATATAAAATATGCGTTTCGTATATGTGTATATATGAGCCGTTCAGTGCACACACATGGATTAACACCATAAAACAAAAAAATTGAGAAATACGATTGAAATAATGTATGGTATATTGTTCTTTTAAATGTCTTTCAATGGTCAACAAAAAATGTTGTCGTTTAAATGATGTTAATCTGAATTATTTAAAAAAAAAGTTATTATAAATATAAAAAGTTATGACAACTATACCAAGTAATTTGACACTGATATTTAAGATTTTTCAAAAAGTGAAATATATAATTGATGTGTGCACTAAACACAGCTTATATATATATATATATATATATATATAACAATAGACACGTATTCGAGTTGACGACGACGACGTGGCGACTTCTGCGGTTTCCTTATTTCCTCGTCCATTCGTTTACAACCACGGATCTTTTTCTAACAAGACGATATCATAGTTCTCGTTTGTTCGTTCGTTTTTTTTTTTCCTGCCAACATTTGTTCATTCGTTCATTCGTCGTTCGTTAAGTTCATTCGTTCTTACACACAAACAACTTGCTTGGTAAATATGTACAAGCCTTTATTTTTTACATTACTCACAGGTGCATCTTATCAGTCACATTTTTAGCATTTTTACATGCACTAGGTGTTCTATTTATTTGTAATCTCTTTTTTATTTTTTAACTATTATTATTATTATTATTGTTATTGTTAGATAAATCGTTAAAAATCGTTGTAATTTGTTATTATAGAAAAATTCGTGTTCTGATTTTATTTGATATAAAATATTTTAATATTTATTTATTATGTTATATATTTGAAGATACATATAAAATATATATTATACACATGTATATATATATATATATATATATATATGGTATGCGTGCAATGGAAGAACGGTCGAGTAGACCCACCCAGTGACCCATTTTTGCTTAATCTTTCACAAGGAAAATCCATTCATACGATGATATCGTTGACCACTTCCATTTCTTCGATGACGTTTAACTTCCTATTTTTCATTCTACTGTTCGTACACTATATAGTTAAAAACGAAAACATATTTGTTATAAGTGCATACATATGTATTTATTTAAATATTGAGATAACAGGTGAGAGTTCTCGTATACATATAAATGTATATGTATAAATACAATATAAATGCATTTACTTGTATTTATTAAATTATTCTATTTAATTATATATTAATTATATATTAATTAATCTTTAAAATTATATATATGGATAATGTACATAAGTGATTATTAGAATTACAAAATAACGTGGAAATAAGTAATAATTATTATTTTAAAATAAAATAATAATTTATTATAATAATAATTATATAATTATTATATATATTATTAATTAATTATTATTATTATTATTATTATTATTATTATTATTATTATTATTATTATTATTATTATATATAATTTATTATATATTTTATTATAATTTATTATAAATTATTATATATATTATAATATATATAATATAATATATATAATATAATATATATACTATAATATATATAATATAATATATGTGTAATTAAAAATATATATAAATATAATGAATTAATAATAATTTTATTTTGGTTTTCTTTTTGTCGATAAATCGAGTTCAGTAGAATGAAATAAGAAAAGAAAAATAAAAAAGAAAAATTTGTGTAAAGATGTTGTAACAATAAAACTGCATATATAATAAGAGAACTACTACTACTACTACTACTACTATTACTACTACTACTGGTTACATAAGTTTTCAAAGTTTAATAGGAAAATTTTCTTTCTTTTTTTTTTCTTGTTGCACACGAGATAATATTAAACCTACATCGATTTATCATATCTACTTGACACTTGTGCAGACGTTCTTAGAATGAATTTTCTTTTTTTTTTCTTTTCAAGTACAAATTAATAGAAGGAAGGAACTTCTCTCTCTCTCTCTCTCTCTCTTTCTCAATTTTTTTTTTTTTAAATAGATGAAAATGAAATACGTTATTACGAAGGTAATAGTAGTAGTAGTAGTACTAGTAGTATTAGTACCCTTTTTTAAATTGGCAATTACGATTGCCTTGATAAAATGACGTTAGTTGTCCTCTGACGTTGTTGGCTCTATCGATCCATCAGCTTTCGACGTTTCGTTTGAACTCACCCTCTCTCTCTCTCTCTCTCTTTATTTCTCCTCTTCAGATTACAAAAAAAAAAAGAAAAAGAAAAAAAATTGTATTTTTTTCTCTCTCAAACGATAAAAGAACAATTCGTTGTCTAAGACAGAGAGACAGCCAGTCCCGACATTCGGTGATCACGATTCACTATAAATAAACGATCTAGTAGAAGGGGGGTTAACAGACGATGACGAAGACAACTACAACTACAACTACAACGACGAAGACTATGGACAAGTTTTTAGATCAGTAAGAGGGTGAGGGGATAGGGGGTGTGAAAGGGGTTTATCGATCGTAGTACACTCGAATGACAGTACAGTTACTCCTAAGATATCGTTCAAGATTCTTTCAACTATAAAAGACCACCCAACCACCCACCCACCTACCCCCTTCTTTTCTTATCCATTCTACCGTCTCTTCGAGTTTTACTTATATACAGAAGAATTATTTGCTAACGTAACAAAAGACATTTTTTCTCGATGAGATTTTTTGTTGTTTTTTTTGTTTTTTATCTGTAGGAAAAGAAAAATTTGAAAAGGTGGAAAGTTGAAAATTGAATTTTGTTTAAATTCTAATAGGTAAAGGTTAAAGTTTGTCATAGTTTTTTTTTTTTTTTTTTTTATTTATAGGAATTGTTCAATTATTTGGCAATTTGATCGTTGGATACTTTTTTTAAATATTTTTTTTTTTATTAAAATTATTTATTAAAATATATATATATATTTAATATTATATTTTTGATTTAATTATATAATTTATATATTATTATTATTATTATATATATTATTATATATTTATATTATAATTTATATATTATTAATTATTTATTTTATATATAAGATAAAATATTGTATATTATATATATATATATATATATATATAATATATTTAATTTTTATATTATATATAATATTTAATATTATATTTTTGTATTAAATATATTAATATGATTTTTTTTTTACGATATAATTTATACGTTTTATTTGTTTTAACATCTCAAAAGAATTGTCAATGAGTATTTCTTCTTTTTTCCATAAAAATTCCCCATACTTTAGATAATCGAATCTTTTATTCGAGTCGATTAACATTTGCATACAATTTGACCAATTAGAATTATTCAAATTTTTATGATACACGTACGTACGGTTCGTTAGATTTTTCTTTTTTTTTTTTTTTTTTCAATGTAAATATTTCATAATTTGAATTTTGAATTTTGAATTTTGAATTTTAATTTCTTTTTTTTTTTTTTCGGTTCGGATAAGAGAAAGGTAGAGTCCATGATAAAAGGAGGTTTGTTCAACGCAAAACAGGATTGTATGTTTAAAATGGAACGATCGTAGGAAACGAGGACAAGGTTCCATGATAATGATAACCATGTCCATGTAAATATGTCATTCTGTGATCTACGTTTAAATTGATGATATAATCCTTTCTCAATTTCAATGATTTCAATAAAATTTAAATAATAATAATACAAAAACACACACACGTATATATATATACAATATAATATTATATGCATGGGTTGTTAATTGAACGATATAAATAAAAAATATTTTTATGTTTTTTTTTTTATGTTCATATATGTTTATTTTTTTTTATTTTTTAATATTAGTTTCTTTTATGTCTATAAATGTTTATTTTTTTATTTTTTATTTGTATGTTTATCTATATTAATTTTTTGTATTTTTTAATGTTAGTTTTTTTTATTTCTTTATGTTACTTTTTTTATGTGTTTAATATATTTTGTTTATTTGTTTCTATACATTTGTTTTCTTTGAAAGAATATAATTTTATACAAAATATATTCGTTTATATTTGCCATGATTTTAACCTAAGAAAATAATCTTCTTTTTTTTTTTTTTTTATCAAACCCATAAGCTTGTTTCGTCAAAAAAAAAACGTATTTTCGTGATCCAATTTACTGAAAGTTCAAAAGTCTCTTGAAACTAATATAATTTCTTATCACCTTAAGAAGGAAAAGAAAAAGAGAGAAAGAGAGTGAGAAAGAGAAGAGAGAGGGGGGGATAAGGAAAGTACCGAAAAAGTTTTTTTTTTTTTATTAATACTCCTACTTAAAGTTTGTTCACGTCTAAACGTCGTCGTTTATCGTCAATGTTATCTTCATTCATGAAACAAGTTTAATTAAGTCTTCTAAATTAATTACACATCTCTCTCTCTCTCTCTCTCTCTCTCTCTCTTTCTCTCTGTGTATGTAATAATTACTAGACACACACTCAACTCGATAAATAATTATCATAAACGTGTAAATATATAAATTCGAATAGAAAATCATTTTAGTTTGAATTCTTATTTAAAACGTCTAATTAAAATGAATATATAGTATACACGAGACTAACCGTACTGTGTTTATCTACATATTCATATCATACATAACATATATATATATATATATATACATACGTGTATAAACATTTGCTTTAAAGAAGGAAGTATTTTATGATAATGAGCAAATTATACAGACTACATATATATATATATAAACGTAATTTGAATTAAAAGCCATTGTTCGAATCATTAACCATAAATCGTTGTAACATTTTAATATATTGCATAGATAGATGACAAATTCCCTAGAAAGTATGAAATTATATTTTTTTTGATCTTTATAAATCAATTATTAAATTATTAGGTTCGAGTCGTAAATAACTTTCCATTTTTTATGAGACAAATGCACTGATAAGTGCAACACACCTTTCATGGAGTTTTTTTTTTTTTTTTCTTGCACTCTTTGCAATTGTTCAACGTATCTATTGGATTTTGCTCTCCAATATTACCTTTAAAAGGTTCATCAAAGTTGGAAATACACCTTCCTTGCACTCGGTTTTCATCTTTTAAGATCGTATCTCAAGAAACGGAATTTGACAAACCAATTTCTGAACTGCCCTATCATCAGTTATCAGTCCTGCACTGTATAACGCTGTATATTTTTTCAGTTGCCACTTTAGTGCTAATTGCCTTGTTTCATATGCACTTTTTACTATCCCATTTCAGTGGTTAAGAAAAACCGGTTAAATGTAACATTGACTGTATAAAAAAGTTGACAGAAGACTAAACTGAATTCTCATCTATACAGTGATATTGAAAATCCGTTTGTTTCAGTGACTTATAATAGGTAAATACAAAAAATAGATTTTACATAGTCCACATCGGAAGTTACTTATTACTCGACCTAATAAATTAATAATWATTATTATTATACATAAAGGATAGATATATAGATGTATATAAGTGTATATAGATGGTGTATATATACAGTAACTGTAATACATGTCAGTAGGGAAGCTCGTTGATTCGTAAGAGTTATGAAAGGTATGAAATATTTTTGGAAGATCGATTCTCATCCCCCTTTGCTGGGCCATACTACCCATAAAGGTTTTGATTTCAGTAGTCTGTGGAAGTACAGACGAAAGATGGAGCCTCCGTATAGGTTTCACAAGTGTGTCACATCTAATTTTCATTTAATAATACAAAATAACTAATATAAATATATATAATAAAACAATAAAAGTAAAAGGTATAAAAAAAAAAATGAGAATAAAAGTAAAAATATAGAAATAGATTGATAAAAAGTCAAGTTAATAAAAAGTTGGTGAAATTTTATTCATTTTTGTTCAATCAATTAACTTCTTTTACAGTGCTGCTGCTATGAACGCATATAAACGTGTTTATTAATGTTAATGTAAAATAATTTAATATATTTATATTAATTAATAAAAATTAATATATTGATAAACAAAAAACACTTGAAATTATTAAAATCTAATTAATAATAAAAAATTATTATTACATTCGTACAAAATCATTTTAGTTAAAAGTATTCAACACTCAAAAGGATTAATCATAACGTTGATTATAAAAAAAAAAAACATTGTAATATATTAATTAATTAAATAATAAAATTTTGTATAAAACAAATAACACATAAATACCTGTCATATTAAAAGAAAATACTCTGTCAAATTAACGAGTATACGATCGATCAGCTGATGACAAAGTATGCAAGTATGCAAGTATGCAAGTAAGTAAGTAAGTAAGTAAGTAAGTTCGTCGTGCCCGTTTTTTTTTTAATGGCGACGGATTTCAAAGTGGAAACGAAGAAAGGAAGGAAAAACGATGTAAGAATAAAAACAAAGAAAAGGGTTTAAGATTATCCGGAGTTTATAATTACAAGGGCGACCTTCCTACCTGGTTACGGAAAGCAGGCCAACAGGAAACGTACTTTATCGAATTTTACCCTTATTTTTTTTTTTCTCATTTCAATCTCAACTAGAGCGATGACATAGTGGGGAAAAAAAAAGAAAAAGAAAGAATATTACAATTCTAATTTAAATATGGCGAAAGAAAAAGAGAGAAAGAACGTAGTATAACGTAACTCTTCTAATCGAAAGGTTTTCTAATCATGTGAAAAAGATCGCATTTTCTAACACGTTTTAATATCACGCTCTCTCTCTCTCTCTCTCTCTTTCTCTTTCTCTTATATGTTTGTTCTCTCTCTTTCTACATCGTCAATGCTGTTACTGGCAAGTAACAAACATGGACGCCACGTAGGAAACGGAAAGAGAGAGAGAGAGAGAGAGAGAGAGAGAGAGAGAAAAGTAGGAAAACACGACGAAGTGAAGAAGGATAGAAACAACACATTTTTGTTCTAACGTACGTACGAACTAATAAAAGTATCAGCAATGTTGTTTTTTTTTTTTTAATAATTACAATAACAAAAGATAAAAATATATTTTTTTAATAATTACAATAACAAAAGAAGAAGTTAGAAAAGGGAAAGACAAAAGAAATAAAAGAGATTGAAAAGAGATTGAAAAGAGATAGAAATAGAGATAGATAAATAGACAGACAGAAAGATAGAAAGAGAGAGAGAGAGAGAGAGAAGGGGAAGATAGAGATAAAAAGAGAAAGACAGAGAAGGGAGTAAGAGAGAGTAAGAGAGAGAGAGAGAGAGAGAGAATGTGGGAAATCAATAAGCACGCCTATCGACAAGCCTTTTCCTTCAAACACAAAAATAAGTCATTTCAATCGAAAAAAAAAAAAAACCTTTTCCCCCATTTCGCACAATATTCTTTTGAATTATTTGTATTAAAATTTAAAAAAAAAAATAATTAATGAAAAGAACCTAAAACGCACATATATATGTATATATATACAAACACACACTGTGGTGTGATCCTCTTATAAATCAGATTTCGTACCTTTTAAAGAAGACGATGTGTATCCTTGAACGGCACACGGGGCTGACTGAGTGCTTCTGACGTCAAGGATTCAGCAGACGACTCGTTTGCACTTATGTTAGTTTTTCACCCACTTTTAAAAAGGGAAAGACAACGATGAATCTCGCACAATCAGAGATTGATTACGCTGGTCTTCTCTTTAATTGCAATTAATCAAGGGAAATAGTTGAATGTATCTTTTGACAATCCAGCCCTTTTTGCACTCTATCTATCTATCTGTCTGTCTGCCTGTCCGTCTGTCTGTCTCCTTTCTTTATCTTCTTTTTATTATTTTCTTACTTGTCCTTTTATTATCTACTTTCTTCTTATTCTTCCTCTATTCCTTCATCTATGTCCAGTTATTAAATCAATGCTGTTGTCAGTGGTTCCTTTGATCTCTCTCTCTCTCTCTCTCTTTCTCTCTCTTTCTCTCTCTCTCTCTCTCTTTCTATCGTTTCCTTTTAGTTTTTTCTTTTTTTTTTTTTTTGTGGTCTTTGGAATATGCGTGCGTACGACCCCTTTTTCTTTCGCGACGATTTTATAAAGAGAGAGACTCTGGGACTAGGACTGGCCTCGGGAAAGAACCTCGCGCCACTATAGCCACTACTATAGCTAAAATATCGACCATTTGGTCGTGAAACCCCCGCCCCTGTTCGCGTTACAATCCACTCGCGTTTTCGCGCCTGCGCTACCGGCAACCCGACTGGCATCAATATAACTACCAAATGGTGCTGATGGTGGTGATGGTGGTGGTGGTGGTGGTGGTGGTGGTGGTGGTGGTGCTCGCTCACCTATCCTCCTCTTTTCCTCTTCTTACAACACATCGAGGGTAGTTCGACACTTGTTGATCCAGAGGAATACTCTTTCTCTCTCTATCCTTTTATCTTTCATTCTAACTTTGCTTTCTATCTCTATCCCTCTCTCTCTCTTTCACTCTTTTTTTTTTAAATTTATAACAGTAATTGTGAAATATAATTTTTTTTTTCATTTTTTTTTTCATTTCATTTCTTTCAGTTCCCCCTTTTTTGTTTTTATTATTATTATTATTATTATTATTATTATTATTATTATTAGTATTGTAATTATGTGACACAAGAAATTGACTCAATTAACTTGTTCATACTTGTGAATAATATTTTAATTGAATTATACGTAGAAAGTAATTTTTAAAAAATAATTAAATACCTGCCCTATCACAATAATTTCATTCATAGAAATAATTCGTGGTATTTGTTTATATCGTTAAAAATCCATTCATCGTAATTTGTAATGAAATTAATTAACGATAATTGTTATGATTTTAATATAGAATTTTATTTGAATTTACATTATAATAATAATAATAATAATAAAAATCTTTAGTGTGTCATTAGTCGAAAAAAAAAAATTGTATCGAATAATAAAAAAAAAAAAAAACAGAAGAAAATTTAAATGGCCGCCGCGCGTCGATTGGTTACATGAATTTACCGACCGAGTAAAGACCCTCCCTTTGACTGGAATAAAAATGATTATAGATGGTCGATTAGGCACACGAGAAATGTTTCATCTTGTAAGAAAACTACACCCGACATTTTATCGATTTCAAAATACTAGGAAATTTCTATTGTAACTCGTGAAATGTTACTCCTAGTCATTCCCTATACGCAAGAAGAGCCCTCTAGTTATTTTTTTTTTTTTTTACTTTTCCTGTAAATCTTTTTTTTTCTTTTTTTACCTGTAAATTGTTTTTTTTTTTTTTTTTTAATTCATCCATCTATTTATTACATTTTTTCTTTATCTTCCAAAGTGTAATGGAGGAAAATGGTAGAAGAAAATAATAATATTTACTTTTACAGTAATTACATACAAATTAGGTGAATAATATAATAAAATGAATATGTAATATATGATACAGGGATAATATATTATTATCGATCAGTTTAACCCTTATCCCCCTCCCTCCTTCAACCCCTCTCTTTGTAATGGGGTCACGCAAGATATGTCGACTTTAACAATTACTGATTTGATTGGGGTGGTAACAAAATGCTACCACCATTTCTACAATTAAACGAGAGAATGGTGGAGCGGATTTTAAAGTTTTAAGTAGTAAACTTTATATAATATCGAAATTAGTTTCAATGGTAATCTCTATAATCACTGTATTATTATTAATGGTGATTTACCATAGGGTTAGGATGGTTAAACATAAATTATCTTATCTCAACGTATTACAGCGAATGAACTTGTTCAACTGTAAAAATTTGATAAGAACTTAATGTATAAACATTAAGAAAAATGTATCATAATATTTTAATAATTATGAAAATAATTTTATAATATAAATAATTTTTTGATTATAATAATATCTCCTATGATAAATTATATTTTTTCCTATAGAAATTGTTCAATTATACGGACACAATAAGAAACCAATCAATCCCATCGATACAAATCTAACATTGTAATAGAATCGCATGATTAATAAAGAGATGGAATGTAGAAACATAACCTCTGATATATTATGCTTGTCCATTTGAGATTTCAAATGTATGGTTTTAAAACGGGACAAGTTGTTACATTTGTAACAGGATCACACGATAGATGAAGAAGTAACATAGAAATCATACAAACTTCCATGTAAGTTATGTTCTTCCATTAAAAATTCAAAAAAGAAAGGAAAGTAACAAACAATGTTTTTTTTTTTTTTTATATAATTTGTGCTTTTTATCAATTTATAAAGCCTTTTATTATTATTATTATTTTTTCTCAAAGATATCCATTTGATATTACTCATTGAAATGAAGCATGTGTAAAGAAAAGGTAACAAATACAGGTAAAAAAAAACAAGGGATTAACAAAAGTAAATTTGTTCTTTATTTTAACAAATGTTTTCTATTACATTAAAAATCTTTTATATAATATGTAATTATACATTAGATCGTAATTAGAAATGGTTGTGTGTAAATAAATAACTTATTAGTAGATTATCATCAGTCGGTAAGTTACCAATTGAATAAATCATTTTTTTATTTCAATAGTTTTTACTTAATCTTTTTCAAATTTATCTAATAAGTAGTATTTTATATTAACAGACAAAAAAATATATATCAGAAAATGGTTTCTTTCGTGTAAAGCTGAAAATTTTTCATCCCTTATTATACTAGACTCAAAACTTTTCAACCAACCGTCTAAAGTTAGGGAGGACTCAGGATTTTTTATATTTATATTTTTTCTTTTAATTAAACTGTAAAAAATGTATTTTTCTATCTAACGAACTGACATATAAGAATGCATATTTTTTCACTTTGTTTTATAATTTTTTTTGTTTTTTTTTTTTTGAAAATGGTTGAGTATTGAAAATGGTGTAAAGTTTTAAAAATCTGATACGAAGCACAATTGTTAGTAATATTTCAAAAATATTTATTCCAAATCGATATGATTATAATTATTTTTTTGTTGTTGTTTCTTGTTTTTACTACAGAATACAAAAAAAAAATCTTAACATTAAAATAAAACATTATTATTATTATTATTATTATTTATCGAAAGACAATAATCGTTGGATACACAAATAAATATATTTTGATATTTCATAAACGTAATAGATTGTTTTTTTTTTTGTTTTTGTTTATCCACATATTATACAACGCATATAGAGAAATGAATTAATAATAATAATAATTACAAATAATCCTTTTTTATTATTATTATTATTATATATACAATACATGATATTTAATTAAATGTACATTATTTAATAAAAGAGATTTGAATCGTTATTTGAAATTTAATGAAATATGATGATAAGTAAATTCGTGTGTTCGCCAAATTGGGTTCATTCGCCTGACAAATTGTTCATTTAATTTAATTTGTTTGTTTCTTTTTATTATTTATTTTAAATCTTTCATTGTTTCATTTTATATTTTCATTCTATTACAAATATAGGCACAATGAAAAGGAACACAATATGGCACCAAATTTTCTGTAGTCAAACTGTGTATCATTATGAAATTAATTTATTTATATATAAATAAATAATATTATATATTTCATAGCATATATATAAAATATATAATATTATTAATTAGTTGTTTATTATTTTTTTAAGAAATATTTTTGATCTTTTAGTATTGTTCATAAAGCGAGCCAACACGAATACAGAAATAAATAAATTCAATTCAAAATAACACAGCTATTAATATGAAAGGAACAATTTACAATGATAAAATTACACTATTAAGTTTATAAAGGGTGATGATTTTACAATACTTTGGAAATGACATTAATATAGAAAATTTCTTTATATATATATATATATATATATATATATATATATATAAATGAATTTTTACTAATAAAATAAAAAAATTCTATATCATCAATTGTACATACATACAATATTAATAATATTAATTTAAATAGTTTGAGATAAAATTTGTTTGATTATCTAATTTATATAATAAAAATTATTATAAACAAAATACTACTATTTAATAAAAAAAATAAAAAAAATAAAGACAGAGACAGAGATAGAGATAGATAGAGAGAGAGAGAACGTTGAGATAAAATATTCTAATAAATAAGCATTAGAATAATTGATTAATTTTAAATCAAATAAAAATGTACATTCATTGTGCAATTATAATATTTCTAAAAATCAGTCGCGTCTCAAAACGCTTCTAGAATTTATTTCCTTTTAAATATATATATATATATATCACTTTGTTTTCTTGTTATTATTGTTTATATATTTGTACAATAAAAACAAAACATTAAAACTTTCTTTTTTTCAAAAAGAAATACGCGCGACGACGTGCATCTCATTGTCAATCAATTAATAAATATTTAACAAATGAATTTGTTAAGAGATTGATAAAGGCTGGTAATTTGAAATTAATACCATTTGAAAATTGTTCAACATGCACACAAATTAGAATTGCAACTAAGATCATTAATTTTATTTAATTATTGATTTTCTTTTTTGTTTTCGTTTGGTTTGTTAAGTATTAGATTATTAATTAATTTGCCTTCGTCATAAATGGCTAAGTATTGATTACTTTTTTTTTGTTCAAGCAATACACAAAATGCTTTTGTTTGGAAACAAAATACTGTATATATACACATACATATATGTATATATATATATATATATATAATGTTTAAATTTTAAGATAAAGATATTCCTTGAATCCATGAGCTAAGATCATTAGTACCCTCACAACTAAGACTTATATGATTTTGTTCACTTCTTCTTGATTCTATTAACAATTGAGCTGCAGTACGACCAGTTAAATATGCACCATGTACAGTACTGTAAAATGATGAGTGTGTGTGTTCACCAGCAAACGTTATCATAATTTTGGAAGGTTGATCTTGTAATATCAATGGTTCAGCTAAATGCTTGATATCTAATTGACTTGCACCAACAGCCATAGATGTGTAAGAACCACACGTGAATGGCTGAGAATGCCAAGAGGTACGTAAACAACGTTTAGGTGCTGGTATAAAGGGATCATTGAGAAATCGTCTTAAAATTGATGTACACACTTCTGATATTTCAGTTGTACTTAATTGTTCCATATATTCTGCAGCCTTTCCCGATATCCAACCAAGAAGAAGCGTATCGGATATTTTAATAAAAGAATAGATTTTTCTAAACCACGTTTTACTTAAATCTTTTCTATCGTCCTCAGACAATCCTCTATCATCCCAAAGTAACATAACTTCGGATACTTCGGGATTTAAAAAAGGCCTTTCGTATTCTAAATATATTTTATCTACAGTACCAAACATAAGTCTATTTATTGCTTGAAGTTTATTATCTGGTAAGGGTGGCTCAAAAATATCATTGGCCTTTTTTTTAAGTACTCCTAAGGGCAATGTACATATTATATGTTCGGCGGTTATCATTTTTCCATTTTCACATTGTATTTCTATAATCTTATTTCTACTAGTGCTATTTGTCGCAACATCAGATGCTGCATCATTCTCACATTCCTGTTTTTGCCATCTGTAATTATGATTATCATATAAACATCGTTTTAACTTTTATATACATTAATTACATTTCATATATTATTATTACACGTGTGTATGCATTATGCATTATTATAATGCATTTGTATTGCTTAAAAGTAGTATATATATATAAAAAGTATTTACAAATTGATAACATAAAATTTGAAGCAAAGAAAAATTAATAATAGAGTATACAGTAAAAGCATATAACTTATGTTAACATTTAGAAAGAATAAACAAAATGAATAATAAAGGTAAATAAAAGATTTTATTTTTAAAAAAAAACAAAAAAAAAACTATGCAACACGGTTAATATTGAATGATTAAAAGGTGTCTAATAATTTACCTAATTTTAGTAACAACGTGTTTAGTTAGTATACAGTTCTTTGGTATATCTTTTGTTATTGGCTCCAATATTGCACTATATCCATTTCGTAGACGAATATTTCCACCCTGTAGTTCAGCATAAGAGCCCATTTCCATAAGATCAACTTCTTCCATATTATCACAGCCAGTAATACAAGCTTCTCTTTTGAGCAAACAATCAAAAAGTAACTGCCTTATTCTTCTTTGTTCAATCGGTAAAGATGACAAATAAATATCAGCCTCTAATGCCACATGTGCTCCAACATTATTAATACCAACGGGAGGATTATATGCACTTAAAAAGTATTCTTCACAACGTCTTAAAAAACACACATAGGCTTCAAATATCTCTTGCAAAATAGAAAATGGCAAATGTTTTCCATCCTCCATCGTAGCTACTATAAATTTGTGTGGTTTTGGTATATTTATAATATCTATCAATCCATGTGCCATTGCTAATTCAAAAATAGGATTTCCCAATACTCCATGAATCCAGTTTGCTCCAAGTTCTACTTTTTCCTTTCCTATATTGAAATTATACAGTGTATATTATACAGTAAGAAATAAAAACAATATATGTGGTGACCCTAGTTATGATGTGATAAAATCACATAAAATATTGATCATTATTGTAATTAATAATTACATTTACAAAATTGTAATAATTTATATATTTGAAATTAATTTTTATTCAAAATTTGTACAATAATACAAGACTTTTTATTGATTGTTAAAATGTATATTAGAACAGAGGTTAATTCAACACATACCAAGTTGTGTTGCTATAATTCGGCCTCCTATACGTTCCCTTGCTTCGACAATTAGAAAATCTGTTTCATTATTTTTCAATAAATGATTTGCAGCAGACAATCCAGCCATGCCCGCTCCGATAATCAAGATTTTACACGAGACATGGCTATTCTCTTGCTGCTCTGTGACTTCCGCCATGTTCAATGCATTGTAACTGACAATATATATAACTACAGTACTATAACGTTATATGATGGGATATTATAACACACAACACGGCCATTGATTACAATTTCTTAAGATAAATTTCAATATTACCAACTAGATAAATTTATATTTATTTGCATTTTGCAAATTTTCATAATTATTATTTTTTATTTGACAATTTTCAAAATAAATTAATCGATATTATCATATGTATATATATATACGTGTGTGTGTTCTGTATATAATTCATGTTAACATTCCATTTCAAATCTCAACTGGAAATTTGTGTCCTTTTTTCTTCCTGTATTTCTTTATCAATTAGTAATATTTATTATTAGATTTTAACTTGTTTAAAATTGATACAAAATTATCAATTAATATAATGAGATACTTTTCATTCATATTAGTTAATAGATCAATAACAATATCATATACATATTATAATAATAATAATAACTGTATTTGTTGTTTTTATTGCTTCTTTAATAATGCACTTTACAACAACACATTTTCATGTAATCTCCAATTTCGCATATTATTATAAAGATTTTCAATTGAACAGGAGAGCATAAAATAAAATGAGAGCAGGATTAATGTAAGTTTTATTTCAATATTATACACTCTTCAATTTTCATAGAACTTTAACCTTGGTTTTGTAAAAAAAAAAAAAAAAAAACAAAAAAAAAAAGGATTCCTTAAACTATCTTCAGTCCAGCAATAGAATTTTCCAGAGACTACAAAATGAAACAATTGTTATTTTATATTTCACACATATTTCATAATNAAAAAAAAAAAAAAAACTATGATATATATGATGATACCTTTAAATCCCAAATGACCAATTGGCCATCTAGGCTACTTGTACTAAATTCATTATCCGACATAAGACGAATACAGTTAATTGTGTTTTGATGAATGCTATCTAATGCATTGTCGTTAGAATCATTTCTTGCTTGACGATCTAACGATTGAAATTTTCTCATGGCAGACAATCCAGCAGTTTCCTTTTTCTGCATGTTATCTAATTTCGATACAAAGTAAATCTGTCCATTGTCATCAATGGAATATAACATTGGCATACAACTGTGTCCCTAAGGAAAATATGTATTATTTCTAATCTGTGTGATAATAAGATCGTTAAGATTGTTCTTTTGACTGAATTACCGTTGCCACAATGGAATTGGGACCGACCCAAATGCAGCTTAAAAATGGTAAATGTTCGGTATAAAGCCTATAAACTACATTGCCTTTTGAAGCGTCTGCAACGCATATTGATGAATTATGTGCAACCCAGCAAATTTTATTGCCACATTGGCTAAATGCAACCGAATGTATCCAACCACCTAAGAAAACATGTAACAACAACAACAACAACAACAACATCAATGTAAAAACAACATAATTATTTTCAATCAGTAATCAATAATTATGTGATGCTCATAAAAGAAATACCTCCATTATTTGTATTAGGGAATTCAGCTAATAATGTGCCTAGGGTATTACTTGTTCCCCATGCGCATGTTCCTGGTGCATCTTCCATATCACTAATAAATGCACTGAATACTCTAACTTTGTAATCCGTTGATCCAGCAACCAAAACTTTATTATCTGGATGCCAGTCAACTGTTGTCACCGTTGATCTTAAAGGACGCTTTATGTGTTTACATAGCCACCAATTATTTTCTGATACGAAGTAACAAACAGCTATTACTCTGCCACCAGAACCAACGGCAAATTTATTTTCTGCAAAGCATGAAATTTATCACAACAGTTTGATAAGAATTTAATCATTTAAGGAAAGACAGGACAGACACATTTGAAAAGATAAATATACCCAAAGGAGACCACTTAACACACGTAGCAGCACGATTTATTCTTAATAAAACCCATGCAGGATTCCACTTTCCATCTTTTCCTTGTGTCCAAACGTATGCATTTTTATCTGCAGAACATGTAACAATGCGATTAGTACGTGGTGCCCAATCAACACCCATGATATGCATATCGTGTTCTTGTAACGTATCAAGTAATTTCCATCCTGAATAGGAATGCTTGTAGATTTGAATTTCATTATTATTTGGACATACTGCTACTTCTGTAAAAAACAAAACAAATATAACAAATATTCATTTAACAGATAGTTAATCAATATTAATAATATTATTTTAACATTACCTGTTCTATCTTTGTTCCAAGCATGATAACTTATAACATCAACACCCAAATTATGCACCACTGTCATTTTTCTTTTGTTAATACTATATATGTATATCTATCTTAATATATATATAAATTGAAATAAGTATATATAATAAATATATAATATAATATAATATAATATACACAATATATCTGTATAATTTAATGACAAACGTCAATGGGGTGCGGTCAATACTAAAATGACAATGATTCAATTTTGACAAGACATTATATATGTAGAATAAATAATTAATCTATTCTTTATAGATAATCACAAGATAAATGTTGTCTCTTCCATGCACAAACACACAAATATATAGAATTTCTTCACGATATATATATCTAAAAAAAAATTGATCATAAACAGCCGTGTCAACCTCCTTTCCTATTCTAAGGATGATGGAGAAACTACTTCAGAACAAAATTTCAAACAGTACTACCAATCTAAGAAAGCATAATAACCTATAAATATACTAGTCTCTATGTAAGATACTAATTTATCATATTTTACGTGTTATATGACACACGTGTGATTAAAAATAAACTATATATATATTATTATATGATAACACACTATATATATAAAAAACAAAATATTATATTTTCGAAATAATGTGATAAAAAGTTGAGAGGAAAAAAAATGAAGCGTGTAAAAAACAAAAAAAAAACTATAGTGACGAAGAAGGCCCCGGAGGGAGTCGAACCCTCGATCTCCTGTTTACTAGACAGGCGCTTTAGCCAACTAAGCCACGGCGCCGATGATGCAATCACATTTTTTTATACAAATTCGTCGAATTTTTTCTATTTTTTTTTTTTTTTANTTTTATTTTTTTTTTTTTTTAATATATAATATTACATTTATTTTCTTTATACATTAATAAAATAAACATATACACAAATATCTAATAAAAAAAAAATAAAAATGTTACAAACGTTCATCTGATTTATTTAGAGTACATAATAGCCCAAGAGCCCACGGACGATCAGACATCTTTGTTATTTCATAAAAGCTGAAAATTTTTCTATGCATGTCCCCTATACAGGTAAAAACGACCAGCAAGTCATCTTTATAAACTGTAATAAATTATAATTATACTTTTGTTATAGTAGAAAAGAGACCAGGTAGATTGCTTTACCGGTATCTTCATTGAGATACCCAGTATGCAGTTTAGGGGTGTCTGGCAAGGGGGTAGCAATTGTCATAAGTGTCCGGTAATGGATGACGAGATTTTTAAAGTTATCCCGAAGAAAATATACAAAAAATTGAGCTTTATACTTTAACGAATTAAAGGTACTATTTTATACACATTTACTATCTATTATCTGCCCAAGTAACCACAACCCAAACTCTATAATCGCTGGTATATATATATATATATAATACTAATTTCAACAAAAATATAAAACTTTTCATATCTTTCAGTAAAATACATGTCTTATTATCAGTATACTTATATTATACGTTGTAATATCAACCTATTATAATAGTAATATTTATGTCAGGTGACCCAATTTTATATATCTTCTGCAATATACAAAAAAAACAAGAAATTACAATTGTAAAAAATTAAAATGACATTGAAACATCTACTTTTCTATCTAGACATTAGAAATATGTTTCCTGTTTTTTTATTTATGCCATAAGCACACAAGTTTTGTATCAAACATTTTTTCATATTTGTTATAACAAAAATTCAAGGTTGACAGAGTAATTATCATTATATATGAATTATTCTCAAGAACAATGTAATATGGTCATGTTGATCATTTTTATTTGTTTTCTTCATGCTCTGGAAGAATATTGCAAACCCCCCTCCCTCTCCCCGCAAAAAAAAATATATAGTTTAATTAAAAAAAAATCTGGTAAAAAAAACAAGTGGCCTTGAGTAAAAATTCTTTCAATCGTTGGATTGATTTACTTCCTTCCTCCCACCGTCCCTGTAATAATGCAAACTTTTTTCTTTTGATGTTTTTTTTAACACGTTGATTATTTTGACATAACTGTTCTATCTTTGTTCCAAGCATATGATAACTTATAACATCAACACTCAAATTATGCATCGCTGTAATTTTTTTTGTTAATACTATATATGTATATCTATCTTAATATATATAAATTACGTGTCACGTTGTTTATCCGCAATGGACTCGTAAAGTACTGAATCGATTTTAATCAAATTTTCTACACTGTGTGCAGTTTCATTCAACTTGAAAGATAGAATAGTTAATATCTCAATTTATAATCGCAATATTATTTTATTGCCAATTATTTGTTTATTAATTCAAGACGTGTGTATCGGACTGATTGTGAGCCACAGCAACGCGTGACGGGGCACCCCTAGTCTTTATATATATAAATTGAAATAAGTAATAAATATATTAATATAATACGAGACGTAGATGGGAGGCTAATATTATTTCGGGACCTGAAAGAAATAAAATACGAAAACCGCGAATGGAAGGATCGCGCTCAGGGACAGGAACAATGGCGAGATTTGGTATTTGCGGCAATGAATTTTCGAGTTCCTAATGCCAGTTAATAATAATAATAATATAATATAATATATCTGTATAATTTAATGACAAATGTCAATGGTCAACGGTGTCAATGACCATCCATATAATTTAATAACAAAACGTCACAAAATTTCAAATATTAGCGTAGCTAATTTTGCAACATCTAATAATAAAGGAAGGAAGGAAGGAAGAAAAATGCAAGATCATAAAAATTTGTTTGTTAATTAATGTAATTTTATAAATGCCTAATATATCTTTCAAATTACTAGATAACATATGTACATAATTTTTTAATTTTCTATACTGAAATATTTTTTAATGTGTTGACGTAATCACATATTTTATTTTGACTTTATTGTAAAAGTTTAAGATAAAAAAAAATTAGATATACACGCGTATCGTTCATGATTATAAATAATTATTATTATTATTATACATTTTTAAATATTTAACTTTTATATTTTATTTTAATAACAAAAAATGAGATTAGTTTTCAATTTTAAAGCAATATCGATGATTTAGAAATTTCTTAAAAAGTAATGTCACAAAAGAAACAAATAAAACAAAAAAAAATTTGTTTTTAAACGTCATGTCATGTGTCCCTTGAAATAAGATGATATTATCTTGAATATTTTTATTTTTTTCACAAAATTTCAAATATTTATTGAACCATCTGGTATATAGTATAAATAAATAATTATAAACTACGCAATATAAATGGCTCGTTGGTCTAGGGGTATGATTCTCGCTTCGGGTGCGAGAGGTCCCGGGTTCAAATCCCGGACGAGCCCGTTGAACATTTTCTTTTTTTTTTAATCTTTTCTTTTACTTTTTTTTTCTTTTACTTTTTTTTTTTTTTATTAATCCTTCATTCTCTTAACAAGATCATAGTACATTTTTGTCTTCCAAATATGAAATATGAATTTCTTCATGTGTGCCCATAATTATGAAAGTGATCTATACATTATTATAAACTGAATAATAAAGTCAATGTAATTTGAAAATGATATTATGAAAAATGAATCGTTAGATGATGTTTGTTATTTCAATATTGTATAAGAATTCATTAAATGTTTCAATCTTTTTCTAATCCTTATAAATATCTCGAAACAAGAGATGTATTATGATTAAGACCATTTTCATAATTATTGGCACACATATATATTTTGTTGTTTCATTTTGAAGTATTAAAATAATATTGAAATTTACTATTTTTTTATTTTTTTTTTACTAGAAACATATATATTATTAAATGAAATTATTTGTATTATTTTTAAAACGTCGTTATTTTTTTTTTTTTTTATTGAGATAATAATTAAAAATAAAAAAACGGTTAATCGTTGTTGTTATCGTCAAAATGTTTCTTCAAATTTTCAACAAGAAATTTTCAACATTTATTCATTCACAAATTTTTCCAATGTGAAATATTGAAATGGAAGTTGTTATGTGAAAGAAAACAAAAAAATTGATTAACGATTTAGTGGAAATATTTTTGAAGAAGTATTAGAAAATATTTTGAAATGTAAACAAGAAGAAAATATCTGAGCAAACACAAATGTCTTGTTCTTTTTTTTTTTTTTGTTTTTTTATTTCAGATAAATACAAATCTATTAATTTATTCAAGGTTATTAAAAAGTATATAATAGAAAAGAAGAAGAAGAAGAAGAAGAAAAAAGATAATAGGGAAGAGGAAGAGAAGTAGAAAATAAATAAGTGTAGTAATTATCTACGTCATTTTACAACCTGACCAACGAAAAACCTTAGAAAACTGAGGGTATATAAGGAGTAGAATGATAAATACTATCGATAGACCAGTATTAGTAGTCAATACTTTAGTTGGACTAAGAAGAACGGTTGTGTTGTAAGTTATATTAACAGTTATAATTAAATTCTTTCGAAGAAAAGATAAATCTATGGGTCATTAACGGTAAGTGTATAGACGTGAACGAAATATTTATCTTATTTTTATCTTCTTCTTCTTCTTCTTCTTCGTCTTCTTCGTCTTCGTCTTCATCATCATCTTATGTTTTCCTTTTTTCAAATTAAATATCTTATTTACATTTCGTGAAAGTTTATAATTTAGTTAATTGTGTATTTGCGTGTTATTTGCAAATATAAATATTTATTTTAATTGTTGACAATACAATGATGATGTGTTTAAATATATATATACAAATAGACTTTTTCAAAAGACAAGTTTAAATTCAAAATATATTATATATAATTCAATAGTACAATAACTTATTACTATTAACTATTACTTATTATATTACTATTTAATATCAAAAATATATTATATATAATTTGATTAAATTTTTACAGTCATTTGAGTTGAATATAAATGCGAATATTTTCAATAATTATTATCAATTGAGATATGTTTTTGTTGATGTATGATTGACACACACACGTAGAAGAAGTAGAAAGTTATTGTAAAATAATTTGATATAATAAGTAGGAATTTGAATTAGAAAAAAAATCAACTAGAAAATAGTAGTAACAGTGGAATGTACAAGAGAAATGAATATACATGACAGAAGATAAAATCAAAGTTTCTGTCAATATTTTTCTTATTACGGACGGACCAATATTTTGAATAATTGAAGAGAAAGCAGGAGAAAGTTCTTTTATGTGTAAGCATTTAACCTTACGTGGCAGTCCTCAAAAGAGAATTCTCATTTCTGAAAGATTCTTTCTTAGTTAGACCAGTGCGTTCAAACATTCGGCACGCAAAGATAAAATAAAGAAAAAGAAAAAGAAAACATTCGACGTTATGTGCAAGTGAATAAATCGTTTTATAATTACAATTCGGATTAATAATAATTATTTCTATATCGGTGTATATATATATATATATATAAAGAAACGGTGTGTTCGTGTTACGTTTCATTAGGATTATTTAAAAGTGGACATAAATCGACGTATATTTTGCATTTGACAAAAGTTCATTGAAAAAATCAAAGGAGTATGAAATAAAGAAGGATAAAGTTTAGAAAAGAAAAGTTCTTTGCAATTTACAATTGTTACAAATTTGTCATTGTTAAAATTGATCGATCGATTGTTGATCCTAAAGGATATAAGGACAAGAATTTGAATTTGAACGCAAGAATGGACGTCAAGGATTTTCTTGATTTTGGCAAAAGTGCGATAGATTTTATTGCAAATTATTATGAAACATTGAGAGATAGGCCAGTACTTCCTGACGTTGAACCTGGTTATTTAAGTCAAATGATACCAGATGAAGCACCTGTTAAAGCTGAAACTTGGCAAGAGGTTTTTAAAGATATTGAAAGAGTCATTTTACCTGGGGTAAGTCAAGAAATTTGTAATACACGCATGCGTTTTACATCTAAGTTTTTTTTTTTAATTAATTATATTCATATAATTGTATCGATTCTACCTGTTAAAAAAAAAAAAAAAAAAGAATTAAAATAAGAACGTAGTATCTATCAAAATGTATATAATAAATATACAGTTATACTTTATGTATTAATATTTTGTAATATTATTTAAGATGACGCATTGGAATTCGCCTAATTTTTACGCATATTATCCGGGCTCACCATCGTTTCCATCCATCGTTGGTGAATTGTTATGCGCTGGATTTGGTGGAGTTGGTTTTTCTTGGATGTGTTCACCAGTTTATACAGAATTAGAAGTTATCACGTTGAATTGGCTTGGAAAAATGTTAAATCTTCCATCCGAATTCTTAAATTGTAACAATGGACCCGGAGGAGGTGTTATACAGGTAATAATAATAATAAATAAGAAAAGAAAAATTATTTTTTAATGAAAAAATTAATTGTGAAGGAGACATTGATATTAAAAATGAAGAAAAAGAGAAAAAAAAAAATTTGACGGGCTCGTCCGGGATTTGAACCCGGGACCTCTCGCACCCTAAGCGAGAATCATACCCCTAGACCAACGAGCCGTTGTGTAGTTCATTCATTATTAATCATCAGCTTTTAATTTATAAATATTATTCATTGATTAATCTTTCATATAGATATATTAACATACAGTCAGATTTTTGTTAAATATAAATACATTGTTTATTAATTTTATGTAGGGTTCCGCCAGTGAAACTACACTTATTTGCTTAATAGCTGCCAAAGATCGAACAACTCGACGTATAAAAAGTATTCATCCTAATTGGGATGAGAACCTTATTAGAGCCAAATTAGTAGGTTATACTTCAGGTAATTTGATTATTAGATTATCATTGAAATTTATGAATAAATTTTCTTTAACACGTTCGTCGCCATGTCATCGTATAGAGAGGAGACGGGCATGCTTCCTCGCGAGCCTCGTCACCGTATACGGTGACGCTCTTCTTGTCGAAGTTATAGGATTTTGAAAATATTTGATTATTTTTGATAAATAAAATATAATAATGTAATATAACCATAATAATATACTCGGGTCGCATTGTTGATATTTCTTTACGTTACGGCGCGTTGGCAGTCGAATTTTGGGCCTTGCGAGAAACTCAACCGAAACGAGCTGGCCGACGAACATGTTAATTATATTTCCTTGATACACTCTATTAATAAATATGTTTATTGCAAATTTTATTTTGAAATGAAATATTTTCACAAATATTTTAGATCAGGCAAACTCATCCGTCGAAAAAGCCGGACTTTTAGCGACAGTTCAGATGAAACTATTACCCAGTGATGAAAATGGAAGTCTTCGTGGTGATACATTGTTAAAAGTAATTAAAGAAGATTTAGAAAATGGTCTTATACCATGTTACGTTTGTGCAACATTGGGTACTACTGGTACTTGTGCTTTAGATAATTTAGATGAAATAGGACCTATTTGTAATCAATACGACATATGGCTTCATATCGATGCTGCATATATTGGTTAGTATTTAAATATTAACGATTCTATATAGAATTGTATCGTAAATCAATTAATTCAATTAAATAATAATAATAATAATAATAATAATAATCGTTCATTTAAATTAGGTGCCGCATTTGTTTGTCCTGAATATCGACATTTGATGACTGGTGTTCATTATGCCGATTCGTTTAACGTTAATTGTCATAAATGGTTGCTCGTTAATTTCGATTGTTCAGCAATGTGGTAAAGATTTTCTCATTTATAAGCAAACTTATTATCTCATGCAAGAAAATTATCGAAAAACATAGAAAAAAAAAAAAAAAAAACAAAGACAACAACAATTTTTAAATAATAAATTATTTATTTTGTTAGGGTGAAAAATTCCAAATATCTTATCGAGGCAATGAGCGTTGAAAGAATTTATTTGAGTCACGATAAACAAGGTGTTGCACCTGAATACAGAGTATGTTTTTTCTACATTTTAATGATCATTTCAATTTTTTTTTTTGTTATAAAATTGAAATAATATTAATTAAAATATTGTTCTTTTCTTTTCTTTTTTTTTATATATAGCATTGGCAAATACAATTAGGACGTCGTTTTCGTTCATTAAAACTATGGTTTGTCTTACGTCTTTATGGAGTAGAAGGAATGCAGAAACACATAAGGACAACTGTATCATTGGCAAATAAATTTGCTAATTACATTAAATCTGATGACAGATTTGAATTAGTCACGAATACTATGGCATTAGTTAGTTTTCGATTGAAGGTATGAAATATTAAACATGTTCAACATGACGTCATGTGACTGATAAAATACTACAGTATTGAATCACTTAGATATRATAATAATAGTCTACTTTACTTAATAAATTATTAGGTGGTTTGGAAAGTCGAAAGTTTCATTTGTCTTTAGTAAAAATGAAGACACACACAATTTTTGCTTTGAAGTTAAACCTCAACCTATCAAGTGGTCATAAATAGTTAAATTTGATCAATTTAAGCTCTCATTGATCTCATGTGTTACTATTTGTCAATTTGCATCAACTAATGCCATTATTGTGTCAGCAAGAAACGATTTTCCGAAACACCTGTAATATTTAAATATTTTTCAAAATGATTAATGAAAATGTTTCACAGGACAGAAAGAACTGTTTGCTTATAACAAATTGTATTTATTTTTCTGACAAACAAAACAACAAATTCAAACCCCCCGCATTATATTTTTTTTTTTGTAGGGAGAGAACGAATTGACAAATGAACTTCTCAAACGTTTGACTGAAAGGAAACGCATTTATGTTATCATAGCTACGATAAATGAAAGATATATCATTCGTTTTTGCGTATGCAGTCCATTATGTCAAGAAACAGACATTGAATTTGCTTGGAATGAAATCAGTGAACAAGCTAAGGAAATTCTTCAAGCGAATCATCATCATCATCATCATCACCATCATCATCATCATCCTGTTGAAGAACTTTTAATTCAACCATCCGTAAAATCGTATAACGATATTACATTAAGAATAGAAAATTTAAATCATGAATCCAAGGGCATCTAGCATCTAAGAGAACAAATTCACATTAATATGATATTTTATTTCATTAAAATATTCGTTCGTTATTTTAATTTGTTTAAACAACAATATAATTATTCCAATAAGAATTTCGATATTATTTACATAAAAAAAAAAAAACAAAAAAATAATCAAGAGAGAACATTTTTCATGTACAAGTTTATTAAGATAGATTTATATAATAATATAATCGTAATATAATTAATTAGTATATTATATTATTAAGTATGAATATAATAATTAAATATGATATTTGAAAAAGTAATTTATTTATAATTAATTGAAGTATATGTTGTTGTTTTTTTTTTGGGGGAAGGTGGGGTATAATTATTATTTACAATAATACACTAGAAAAATTTACAATCTATCCACTTAACGGTTAGTTAGTCAAGCGTAAACGCAAATAAAAGAATATAAAATATTTTTTGTATGTATAATTTAAAGTTTTAAAAAATAAAATTCTTTTCTATAATGGCTGACAATTAGTGTAAACTATTAAAAATATAATACAAGGTTTTAGTTTTTTTTTCTTTTGTTTTTTTTTTTTTTTTAGATAGTATTAGATGTTTCCATATTTTAACGATAATAAAACAAAATATAATATAATATGTGTATATATATTTATATATATATAATAATAATATAGTATATATATTTAGTATATATTTACTATATTATTTTTTATTATATTATTATATGTACTATATTATTTTATTTATTATATTTTTCATTCCATATGAACATGTTATCAACTGATACAAAATTCTTGTGATATTAATAATTGATACGTTTGAACGCTAGATGGCACGCCAAACAATCTCGATATCATCACAAAAATGGTATTCAAAAAAAAAAATAAAATTTGAATAAAATTGTAAATACTTTTAAATTAATGCACGATGCCTAAGAGTCATGAAAATTACGCAAAAAAAAAAAAATAAAAGAAATAATTAGATAATTTTAATGAAATACAAAATTAACAATTTATATCAATGGTATTCAATGTTGTCTCGATCGATTGATCGATTTATCGAAATCGAAGTTTGTTATGGTACAGTAAGTGTTGCGCTGCTGCTGTTGCTAACACACCACACAATTGATCTGAATAATATAATATGTATAGTATATGGTGTGTTAGTAATTCATGAATACATAAACGATTATTGATTCTAAAGCAACTTCAGAGTGGAGAAATATTACATTTACTCATGCGATAACACTCATGAGATAATATTGTGAGTTATTTACTTATTATTAGTATACAGTTCTTTTTTTTTTTTTTTAGTTGTTTTAAGGAACTAAAATCATACGTTGTTATAAAAGTAATATACAGAACAAATTTAAATAATAATAACAATAATAATAATTTTTCTATTGAGGACTAAATGAAATTTGTTGTTTTTTTTTTTTTTTCTATAGAAATATTATGAAATTTTGGATATAATTTTTGATAGGAGAACAAAATAATGAATTACAGTGATCGAGACTAACGTTAAATCGGACAAATTGATACAAGTGTCATTTTAAGTAGTTTAATTAAGCGATTAAATTCAGATACGTAAATCGAACGTAATATATAATCAACGTCGTCGAGGAGTCTTTCTTGATTAAACAGTGCAGCTTAGCATCTCGTTGAGTTAACAATCACGATGGATATTAATTTTCAAGGCAAGCGCATTCTCGTCACTGGTGCTGGTCAAGGTATATTCCTTCTTCTTTTTAATATATATATATATATATTAAATATATATTAAATATATATTATATATATTAAATTATTATTATATTATTTATAATAATAATTTTATTATATATAAATTATATATAAATTATAATAAATTATTATTATATTATTTATAATAATAATTTAATTATATATAAATTATAATATATATAATATATATATATATATATATTTTTGTTGTGTTGTTTTAATTTGCCTTAGAAGAGTTTTCATTACGCGTCGTCGTCGTCCTCTTTCTTTTACTTCTTCTAACACCTAAAAATCACAAACAAACAAATTAATTTCTTAATCGATTGATATAATTAAGAATAAAATAATATATATATTAAAAAAATGTCATAAATAAAATATCTTCTTAATATATTTATATCAAATTGTTTCACCTGAGATATTTGATTTTATTTTTTTGTTTGTTAAACGTAGACCACCCACCATTTTGTATTTTCTTACAGTTTACGCGTATAACGTTTTATTATATATATATATATATATATATATATATATATATATATATATTTTGTTTGTTTTAATGTCGTCATATAAATTTCATTATTAAAATAATTTACTCTATGTAATATTATAATTAGTTTTAACATTGATTTAACTGTATAAAAAAATAAAATTTGATCGTAGGAATTGGTAAAGAGCTAGTGCTACGTTTGTCCAAATATAATGCGGAAGTAATAGCACTTTCCAAAACGAGGGAAAATTTAAACAAATTACTTGTTGAGGATCCAAAGATCATAACAGTATGTGTTGATCTTAAAGATTGGAATGCAACGAGAAAATCTATTGAAAACGTATTACCGATCGATTTATTGGTGAACAATGCTGGCGTAGCTCGTCTTTCTCCATTCTTGGATGCAACACCCGAAGAATTTGATTTATTATTTAATGTCAATGTTAAAGCCATTATGAACGTCTCTCAAGTGGTCGCTAAGAACATGATCAAAAGAAATGTTGCTGGTAGTATCGTCAATATATCCTCCCAAGCAAGTAAAGCAGCATTGAAGGATCATGCTGTTTATTGTTCTTCCAAAGGAGCCGTTGATATGTTAACAAAGTGAGAACATTTTTATATATATATATATCTATTTATATACTGGGTGATTTAATAATTATTTTAGAATAGATGAATGATTCTAAATGAATTCTATATTACTCGAATAATCGTCGAGTTTTGATTTGCTTTTTAAAAGAGGTCAAGATTAAATAAGATAAACTTTTGACTCTCTGAAGAAGATTTTTATTCGAATATCTGCATCAACGAATAATTCCCCCCCCCACCCCACCCCGCCCCAAAATAAGAAATAAAATAAAATCCTTTTCTTTGATGATTTTTTTTTTTTTTTTAGAACAATGGCTCTCGAACTTGGTCCTCATAATATTCGTGTGAACGCTGTAAATCCTACGGTTGTTCTTACAGAAATGGGAAAATTAGGTTGGAGCGACAAAGATAAAGCTTCAAGTATGTTAAGTAAAATTCCATTAGGACGATTCGCAGGTTAGTTTATATATTTCACTTTGAATTTGAAACCTAATATATTATGAAAATTACTTTCAATTTCATTTGATATATACAGATCAAAGGTATTCTAAATTTTCTTAATTTTTTTTTTGTTTTGTTTTTGGTTATTAAATTTTGCTATTATTTTCTTTTTTTTTTTAGAGACCGACGAAGTTGTAGATGCGATAGTATATCTATTAAGTGATCGCAGTTCAATGATAAATGGTGTAACTTTACCAATAGATGGTGGATTTTTAGCAACATAAATGACCTTATGCAAAATTGTGAAACAAATATAAAAAACAAAAAAAAACAAAATCCTCATATTATAATTTCTATAACCAATTGAAAAGTTTTATAATCTTTACGTATATATATTATGTAAAATAAAAATTCAATTGTGTGTTAGTATCTATAACATTTACACAAGTAACACAAGTAAAATATATACATGTATCATCTAGTAAAAAAAAAATATATATACAGTAAGTAAATAAATGTCTGTATATTTAGTAAATAAAAAAAAGTACAAACTAATATTAGGTCGAGTCATAAGTAACTTGCACTTATCGGTCGCAGAAACGCCATTGTTTGTCTCATAAAAAATGGAAAATTATTTATGACTCGAGCTAATAATATTAATTTATTTCTTTTTTATTAGATATAGGAGAATGATGATTAGGAAAACACATAAAACAAAAACGTTGAAAAATTTTTCTTTCGATCGTCTTGTTTATATTTTTAAAAAATGTGTTTGCTCATTCTCTCCCTCTCTCTCTCTCTCTTTCTCTTTCTCTCTTTCTCTCGTATTTTTTTTTCTTTTTCTTTGATTTCTTTTCTTGCTTCTTGTTTCTGGTTTTTTTTTTTTTTTTATTTAGTTAATCGTGTCGAGTGTAACTTAACGAGACAGGTGGTAAGAAAATTTGTAAATTTACAATTGAATCGCACAAAACATTTTTTTTTGTCTGTGGAAATTAATTTACAGATTTCTTTTGTAATTATTGAATGTTTATATTTTCAAAAATTTGTCCTACCACGTCCTACTTATAAAATAGCCAATACTAATCGTAAAAAAAAAAAAAAACAAACAAACTAATTTTTTAGTTTGTTTTCTAAATCGTGTTCAAAAAAAAAAAGAAAAAAATTATTTATTCCTATAAATTAACATAAAACGATTGGAAAAACAAAAAAAAAATTGTTGCTCGAATAATTTCACAGAGCACGAAGGAAAACATTACGTATTCGTATGTTGCATATGATTTATCTAACTATCTAACTAACTATCTATCTATCTATCTATTTTTAAACTTGTGTGTAAGTTGTTTTTTTTTTAATGATCGGATTAGGGCAGGGATCGGCAACCTGCGGCTCGCGAGCCACATGCGGCTCTTTAAGTTAAAAGAGTTTAATAAAAAAAAAAAAAAAAACATTTAAAAATCATTCTCAATTAATTAACGAGGAACCGATGAATAAATAGAAAAAATTTGGTGGCTCTTGAAATCTTTGAAATTTTATAAATTGTAAATTGTAATTTTTGGGCTCTCCCGACTTAAAAGGTTGCCGATCCCTGGATTAGGGCAAAAGGGATACAATGCACACAAAAAAAGAAATTATCAATCGATATTAAATTTCTTATTTAAACGCGATGTGTTTTTATCTAATATGATGCGTATTCAATAATTGTGTATGCATGTATGTACGTATGTGTGTGTGTGTTCTTTTTTGTATTTTTTTGTTTATTTGTTTCTTATATATAATTGATTTTTTTTGTCTTCGATTAATTTTTTTTTTTGCATCTTTCTTTCTTACGTACTTTCTTCCTTTTTTTTTTCTCTCTCTTTGTGTTTGTTATTTTTTTTCTCTTTTTTTGTTTGTTTGTTTGTTTGTTTGTTTATGTTTGTTCACAAAAAAAGAAACAATTTTACGAAGCGTCACGAACGTAGTTACACAAAAGCATTACACAACAATATTTATGTGAATTCGATGATGATTTTATCTTAAGAATTAAATGAACCACACCTTCCTTAATAACACTTTCTCTCAATATGTGATATTTTTGTTTGTTTACTTTTAATTAATCGCACCAGTTAAACGATTATGAAAATGAATAAACTTGATAAATGTTATACACACACACACACACATATATATATATATACATATAAATATATGTGTGTATATCATTTGATAGTACACATGTTTGTGGTGTGTATATTATTTAATTACGATCTTTCTTGATCATTGCAGTGTAAGCAATTCTCTCTTCTCTCTCTGTCTCTGTCTCTATTATTATTAATAATAATATAATACTTTTTACATTCGTTTAACGCTCGAATTAAAAAAAAAAAAAAAAAGAAAAGAAACAAACTGAAACAAATGCTTGAATTTTAATTGAAGTGAATCATAGACAACAAAGCTTAAAAACTTTCCCCACCCCCCACCCCCTAGTAGCAGAAAATATTGAAAAAAATATTGAAAATACTACATGTGCATTTAATATTAAAAAGAGATTTTTAATGTCTTTTTACAATGTTCACAGTTTTTAATATTAAAATGTCATTATAAATTTCTTTGTAATATTAAATGCACATGTAATATTTTCAATATTTTAATTAATATTTTTTGCTACTAGGAGAAGGGTGCTTTACATGAAAAATATATTTTTACAATGTACTAATAATATTAAAAAGTTTTATATTAAAATCAAATATAATTGTAGTTTAATGTATTCCAACAAAGATTTCATTAATAATCACATGAAAATAATAATAATAATAAGAAACAATCAATAATTAAATCAATGCTTAACTAAATTATAAAATATTCAAAAAACCCATTGAAGTTACGAAAAAAAAAAAAAAAAACACATAGTTACATTTTTGTTTTGAAAATAATTAGACACGTATAAAAGAGAGAGAGAAAAAAAAACACCTAAAGAAAAGAAATGGATGAAAAGATACAAAAAAAAAAAAAATAATAATAATAATAATAATGTTTCCTTTCGCAATCTCTTCACAAAAATGTTGTTTGTGTATATATGGTGTATTGTTATTAATAATAAATCAAATATTGTTGTAAACAATCTCGAGCGTAAACGAACTATTTACAAGTGAATAAATGAGATGAGAGAATTGAAGAAGATCCCCACCAATTTTTATTTTATCTCGTTCATTGCAATTTGTTGGTGGTTTTTTTTCTTTCTTTTTTCGGCGATGATCTTCAAAATATTTCCAACCATTTACAACATTATTTTGTTGTTGTTGTTGTTTTTCTTTTTTCATATAATACACAAAAACAGTTTTACAGACTGGTTAGAACTTTTTCTTCTTTACCTCTCTCTCTCTCTCTCTTTCTCTCTCACTCACTCTCTCATTCTTTTTATTTTTCATCGCATATCAGACATTTAAAATTCTCGCTTACTCAATTATTTATTACTTACTTAATTATTTACTTAATTAATTAATTAATTATTTATTTATTTATTTAGTTACTTAATGACTTAATTAATTATTTATTTATGTTCTCTCTCTCTCTCTCTCTCTCTCTCTCTTGAGTTGACTTTTTCATTTTGTTAATTCTCCTCTCACTCACACTATTTCTACTTTGTATTCTCACACAATTCGCACACACGTACAATTACAATTGTTTTTTTTTTTGTATAATTGTAACCCCCCACCATACACGTGTATCACTTTTTCATCAAAATTGTTCCTATTCATGTATTTACATAATAATAATAATAACAATAATAATAATAATAATAATAATAATAATAATAATAATAATAATAATAATAATAATAATAATAATAANAATAATAATAATAATAATAATAATAATAATAATAATAATAATAATAATAATAATAATAATAATAATAAAAATAACAATAATAATAATAATAATAATATGTAAACCGTTCGTTTTTTGTATTACATTGTGTTTCAATTTTGGAAATTTTTTGTCTTCTTTTTCTTTCAAAATTGATTGGTTAAACAATTGATTGATTGTAATTAATTAATTAATTAATTAATTATTGTCTTCTTATAATTGCAAAAAAGGATAAATTTAGAGACATTTTCTTGATAATTTTGAAATGAAAATCCTCCCCTCAATGAAGGAACATTTTCATTAATTTTTTTGTTTACAATTAATATCTTTTTTCAATTCCTAGAAGAACCTTGAAAATGATCGTATTATCTTTCTATCTCTCATTCGTTATATCTATGATTACTAATGATGGCAAGCTGATAAAAGATGAAATAATTATTATACGATTTTAAGACAATGTTAATTAATTATAAATAAAAAAAATATAACTTGAAAAAACTTCAAACTCTCTCTCTCTCTCTCTCTCTCTCTCTCTCTCTCTCTCTCTCGCGCATTGGCAGTGATTTCTTCTTTCCAGTCGCAAGAAATGTTCACTTCCATTAATTAACACATTATTATTATTATTATTTCATTTTAATAAAATTAGTATGAATCATATTAATATGATTGATAAATGTGTCAACTACAATGTATTAATAATAAATTAAATGTACGGAAGAATTTAACAACTAATTCGAAGGAAGAAATGAATATTATTGGAAGATACAGAACGATTATGTGTGCGTAAGAATAAAAACACATCATACATTTAAAGAAATAACTTTTTCACAATGAAAAAAAAATGACTATAATTAGCTATTTTAAAAATTCATCAAATACAAATTGTAAAAAAGATCTAACGAAGTTTTACTTGAAACATTTGTTTGCTAAATATTAAATATAAAAATAACTGTAAAAATATGAATTTGATAAGAAGATTCAATTAATAAACCAATATGAGTGTTCAATCGTGCTCAAGAAAAAAGAAATCTATTCTTCTATTGGTTCGTTCTCGTCATGCCGATTAATTCCATTTTCTATTTTTTGTTTGTTTCTTTATACAAGATATTTAAAATAGATTGAATTTTTCGAACGATTTAAATATACAGTAAAGACAAGATATTAATGGTTATTAGCATTAGCGGCAGCAAATAGTAATAGTAGTAGTAGTAGTAGTGGTAATAATAGTAATAGTAATAGTAATAGTAATAGTAATAGTAATATTGGTAGTAGTAATAGTAATAGTTGTAGTATTAGTAAATAGTAATGGTAATAGTAATCATAGTAACTATGAAAATAATACATTGAAAAAGACGTGTGTTAATACAATTCATATATATATATATATAAATAACTGTAATGTTACATCACGTGCTTTTTCTTTTACATCTTCATTTGTATTTTAGTATTTTAGTATTTAACTTATATTTGTTTGTTTGTTTATTTCACTTGACGTCACGTTTAGATGGGGTACACCATATGTTATGTTGCATATTTGATTCAAAACGCGTAGTACAGAGTTTGCAGGGAAGGATAAATGGGCTATGAAAGAGAACGTGATTTTAATTACAAACAGAGAGAGAAGACATCAACGTTTGTTTATCAAAGACCTCTTCTTATTTTTTTTATTGTTTTTTTAGTTTTGTTCTTCCTTTAGATAGGTAGATTGCGAATCGAGGAATAATTTGAATTCCTTCGCGAACAGAGACTTCTTTTATTCCTTTCTGTTTTCTTTTTTTCATTTCATCTTTTCAAAAATAAAAAACAATACATACATATAGTCAAAACGTTAAAGAGACAAATTTTGTCAATTATCAATGAAAACAATAATTGTTGACGCGAATTTGTTTATTGCTAATGAATATTCAACAGTTTTCATACTTTTTCATTCTGATTTAATTAATAATGTTTTTTTTTTTTTTTTTAATTTTAATTATCTTTATTATGCATCGAGTGAGTCGGTATTCTGCTAAACAAAATGAAAGATTGTAAATGGTGTTAGTTGAAGAAATAAATGTTAGTCAAATTATTAATAATTTAACATGTAAATAGGAATACGTGTATATTTATGGGTATAGCAAAAAAAAAGAAAATAATGAAGAAGAAGAAGAAGAAATTAAAAACACTCTTACAAATATTTTTACGTTTGTTCTTCTTATAATTTATTTCTTTTCTCATATTGTCATATTATTATTATTTTATTGAAATTTCATTTTCTCTCTTATCATTTCTTCTTCTATTGCATGCATTGCATTCTCTTTCATTTAATTGCATTTCATCTGATTTGATTTTCATTTTCATTTTCATTTTTATTTTCATTTTTTTCATTTTCAACACCTCGATTCAATGCCAAAATTTTTATTCATATTTTCATTTGATTTTATTTCAATTTATCATCCTCTTGAGTTTTTTTTCTTTTTTTTTTTTTTTGCAAAATACCGACCAAATTTACACAATACAGTTATCTATCATTCCTGACAAATGTGTTTGATAATCAATTTTATATCTCATTCGATATTATTATTAATATTAATAATAATAATAATGGTGTTCGTGTATATAATTTGAAAATTCTATCAATAATTCTATCAAACGATAAACACCAGAGAGAGTTTGTTCGTGTTCGCACCATAAGAATTGAAATCCTATTTTTCTATTTTTTTTTTTTTTTTTTTTTTAATTCAAACAAGTAAAATCATATTCTTTCTTTCTTTCATTTCATTTCATTTCATTTCATTTCAACATACGAAATTTTGCATATTTTTTGTTGTTCACAACGAGAGAGACTACAAAAAAAAAGCACGCATACATACGTATGTACATACATACATAATTAATACATACATATACATACATAGAAATAAATTGCATACACGGGGCAGCACACTCATACAATTTGGTGCAAATACGTTAATTATACACACACACATACATACACACATACACACGAAGAGACATGTACGAGACGCGTATCCTAAAAGACAGAGTCTGCTTGTTTTCTTTAATTTATTATTATTATTATTTTTTTTTTCTTTTCTTCTATGACATCTTTATTTTCGAACATTTCCAAAATAAATCACAGTTTTTGTTATATCATTTTTTTTTTTTTTTATTAAAAATCCTTCCCTCCTTCCCTTCTCTATCTATCTCTCTCTCTCTCTCTTATTCATTTCTTTTTATTATAAGCAAAAGTTCATATATATATATATAATAATAATATAATATAATATATGTATGGGTTACATACATATATATATATATAAAAAATTGTTTTTGCTTTTATTTGGAATAATATTTATCAATATTAATTATTAATTAATAAAAACAAACAAAAAAGAAAAACAATCATTAATTTGAGATATGCCTTTATCTTCATCTTGAATTGTTTAATATATATATATATATATGTTTGTTTAATCAAAGAGAGGAAAAGCCGCGAATAAAAATTTGAAATCAAATGTACAATGTGGAACGTTCACAATTTTATTATTATTATTATTTTTTTTTTTATTTCTTTTTTGTTATAGAAGAAATAAAAGATAAGGAAAGAAGAAATAAACCAAAAAAAAAAAAAGTAAGATTAATCCTAAAAATGTTATTAAAGTACATTCCCGAACGTAATAATCGATGTATAAATTCCAAATATACTAAAAATTTCGTATGTTCTCCTCCCTTAGGGTCTACCACTATAACCAAAGTGAATTTGTCCTTTCTTACGTTTATAATGTACCTTTTGTTTGTATTTTTGTTCATTCAATCTTTTCTTTAAACCATTGTACTCTCTTTTTAATGTTTGTTCCTTTTTTTTTTTTTGTAATATTCGAATAACTTTACTATCATTTTTTTTAATCATGGGACATTAGAATTTCATCATTCAAAAACTCTCTCTCTCTCTCTCTCTCTCTCTCTCTCGTACTCTCGATCATATTATTATTTATACGTATAAGATATTTTTTTTTTCAGAAGATGATTCTCAAAACAAACTCCATGATGATTCCTATAAAACACTGATAAGGTTTTCTCTAAGAAGATGCCATAATATTTAATGCGTATATTAATATTTATTTATTATTAATATTAATATTATTTATTAATTATTATTATTATTATTATTATTATTATTAATTATATATAATTATTAATATTATTATTATCATTATTATTAATATTATTGTTATTATTATTATTAATTATTATAATAATTATTATTATTAATCGGCGCCCGAGAAGAGAGGATTACGCATTATTTATATTTATTGTTTATTTATTTGTTTGTTTGTTTGTTTGTTTAATTCGCGCATACATTTGTCGAAAGTTCGAAAGTATCGTTTTTCGCATATTAACGATGGACTTCTTTGTTTTTTGTTTTTTTCATTTATCTATGTACATATTATTATAATTCGATAGATTATTATTATTATTATTATTATTATTATTATTATTAATTAATTAATTAAAGAATTAATCTACATATTTTACAATTTTTCCTATTCTCTCTAGATTTCCATTATTATTTAAATCCTTTTCTTTTTCTTTTTGTCCTTTTCTCTTTTCAATCTTTTAAAACGCACAAAATCATCGTCATCATCGTAGGACATCTTGAATCAAACAATACAACAACACACTCTTCATTCGGTAGGCAATGGATCTCTGGCTTTGTATAATTGCGATTAATTATAAAATGATTTGATTTGATTTGATTGATTGATTGATTGATTGAATGAATGAAAACAAAAATGATTATTAAAAAAAATGAATTAAAAATACATTTCTTTTGATGTGTACAAACAAAAAAATAATTCTTGAAATATATAGCAGCGATATTTGTTGGATATATCATAGATTATGATTTCAAGGATTAATAATAGTAATCATCAGCATCATCATCATTATCATCATCATCATCATCAACATCATTATCATCATCATCATCATTGTGATTTCAACAAAGCAGAGTCAAAAGCTACCTCGTTAAATTATCATATTAACAAACAAATTGTTTTTTTTTTTTTTTTTTATAGACAGAGACGCACAAACGACGCACAAACAAGTTTTTCATTAAGTTAAAATAGTTTTACAATTTTCCAAATACATTGTTACCTTACTTATGGTGTTTACAAATGTAAAACGAATTATTTGTCTTCTTCTTATCATTTTATTCGAATCATGTGTGTGATGTTATATGAACATATCATTTGCGTCTTCTTCTATCATAGTAGAGTCCTTCCTGTATCGTTCAAGCATAGTATTTAATAATAATTTTTATTGAATATTTTTAGACACATATTGCAATATTTTCTCTTCACGTTAAAAGAGCAATTATTTTCATGAAAACAATCGATATTATTTATTTCTTCCTTTAAATAAAATGATTCTTCTATACTCGAGATAATATGTGCCACAAAATTGTTGCACCACACACTTGCATACAAACTACTACAAACTTTGTTTGATCATTCGCATTTGAATTCTTTTTCTTTTTGTTTTGTTTTGTTTTTTTTCTTTTTTTCTTTTTGCAATTTATTATAATAAGATTTCATCATAATTTTTTCACTTTATATATATATATATATGTAAATTTATATAACAGCGTACGCATATATACGCTTTAACGATCAACCCACGTTAGAAAATCACTAAATATTAGTACATCACGTATGTGTATGTATATATTTGACTTTCTTTCTTTCTTTCTTTCATTTAAAAAAAAAGCTAATCGACTTCCACTCGACCATCATCATCATCATCATCACCACCACTACCACACGACGGTATCACACAACCAACAACAATGCACTTGGATAATATCGTTCAATATTTTTTCTCTCACTTTGTTTTGCATGAAAAAGAGTCACGTAGAGAAATCCTATTTATTTTTATCTCTCTCTTTCTCTCTCTCTCTTTCATGCTTGATTTGTTAAGGGGCGGGCCGGGGGGAGGGGGGTACGTAAATCTCTTTCTTTCTTTCTTTCTGGCTATCTTTGCTCTCATACATGTGATGTACATGCTCTCCCATGTATATAAATATGTTCTCATGCATAGAGGGGTGCATACACAGACACACATACATATGACGTTCTCAGTTTCTTTTCCTATAAATAAAAATTAATAAAAATAATAGACAAAAAAAGAAATGTTTACATATACAGAGAGGACAACAACAACGCAACTTTTGACAATACACACATATTTATGGTAGGATTAGCAAAAGTGCGTTGTGTTGTGTTTCTCTCATCTTTAATAGCAGTACCCTCTCCTCTTGTTCTTGTTCATTAATATTCTTGATCTTTTCTCTTTCTTTTAATAAATCCTCTTTCTTCCCTGACTTATTATTATTTTCATAGAAAAAAAAAAAAAAAAGAAAAAGAAAACTTTCTAATCTCTCTATTATCTTCTCCTGTTGTCACCGTAGACCAAACGACACTGCAATTTTCATTAGCTGGCATAAGAGAAGTTGCCACCTATCGTTGTTGACCGTGTAGGAAGAACGTAGCTTCTTGTCGACGATTACTGCTAGTAGTAGCATCACCTCGACGTAGCTGTTGTTGATGCTGCTGATGCTGTTGATGATGTTGATCCTGTTGATGATTATGATTCTGCTATTGCTGTTGTTGTTGTTGTTGCTGGTGGTGGTGGTTCACTTGTTGTGTGGAACGCTTGCCCGCCTGACCACCAGGAGGGGTGGGATCGTTGCCGTCGCATTGGCGCTTCCAAAACAAAAGACACACAAAACAGCGACATTAGCGCGCCACCGTCCTCATCGTAATTTGACCAAATATTATTCTCAACAAAACAACACCAGCCCTCTCTCTTCACCGCTTAATACTAACTACCCCTTTTTACATTTATTCCTTCCTTCATTTCTTAATTTATAGCGGGGGACACTTTAATGGTCTGGCCCTCCATAAATTTTGTTTCTTGTCTCTCTCTCTCTCTGTCTGTCTGTCTGTCTCTCTGAATATTTCACAAAATTATTTGTCATTATTCTTTGTGTTCTCCTCCTATCCGTCAGATTCCTTTTTTCTTTTTTTTTTTTACTTTTTATCTCCTCCATCCAAGATCCCACTCCTCATCGGTTTCTTCCATGAATCATCCAAAAATGAAAAAATACATTCACAAGTGTTTCTTTGATTTTTTTTGGAAGCCAATGAGGGGAGGGTCAAATGTAACTTTGGAGAGAAAAAGAGCAAAAAAGGACCAACAGAGAGGAGGAGGATAATGATGATGATGATGATGATAATAATGATGATGATGGAAATATAGAAGTGAAAAGAGAGATAAAAAGATAATGAAAGGAAGGATATAAAAAGATTTGGGTAGCAAGTTGCGGAAAGATTTTCTTTTCCTTTTTTGTTTGTTTGTTTGTTTTGTTTTGTTTAACATTTTGATTTGTTTCTTTTCTTTATTATTATTATTATTATTTTTATTCTCCCCCATTCTATATCGGTTTTGTCACTGCCATTGTCCTTTTTACCGTGGCACAGGGTTTTTACATTCGCCGCCTCTCATTGCCTAATTTTGCGATCTACAATTAGTGTCTTAGCTTTCGGTTACCTGAAAAAAGTCAATGAAAGAACAAATAAAGCGGAATTTTCGACAAGATCAAGATGATGATCCGACTTGGAAAATCTAAAATCTACACTATTTATTTATAAATCCTTAATCTTACTTGTTTTTTCTTTTTGTTATAATATATATTTTATATAAATAATATATAAAATATATATATATATATATATTTACAGTATATACCGAAAGAATCTCTGTTGACTTTTTTTTTTTTTTTTTTTTTTTTTTAATGAATGAAATCACAAAAGGCTGCTGCTTGATGTTTGATAAAACACGTTCACAAGTTAAACTGTTTGATTATTTTTTTTAAACGAAAACACAATGAATCAAAACTGTATTAATTAATAATAACAACGTTTACTATATGAATATACGTATATACTTATATTTATATTTACAGATATATATGTATATATTACCGATGATCAGTAATGAATAAAATAATGAACCATCCCAAGTGCACCCAAATAAACAGGCAATAGAGGCGTCTCGTTTCTCATTTGGACAGAAACGTTTTTATTTCAAATGAAACTTTGATGTTTATAATATATTAAGTGATTTAGAAAGTTGTTTCGTTGTTTTTTTTGTAAAAAATGAAGATAATTTTTGCTGAATTTGATCAATTTAAGCTCTCATCGATCTCATGTGTTACTATTTGTCGATTTGCATCAACTAATGTCATTATTGTGTCAACAAAAAACGAAACGACTTGTCGAACACCACCTAATATAAAGCAAATGTAAATATTACGTGGTTTGAAAAGTCGTTTCGTTTTATTTTTTGCAAAAATCAAGACAATTTTTGTTTCGAGATTAAACTTAGGATTTTCGAGTGAGTTTAAGTAGTTGGAATTTGATCAATTTAAGCTCTCATCATCGATCTCATGTGTTACTATTTGTCAGTTTGCATCAATTAATGCCATTATTGTATCAGCAAAAAACGAAACAACTTTCTGAACCACCTAATATAAAGCAAATGTAAATATATATATATATATATATATATAATAATTGTAAATTATTTTTAAAAAGAATAATTGAACTCTTTCCAAATGTTAAACAAACACTTTTCCTTTACCCATTCTTTTTCTTATTCTTTTGATTAAAAATAATTTGTTCAAATGTATAAAAGAATGGGAGAAAAAAAGGATAAGTGGGGAAAAAAATCCATGCCACGGTAACAAAGATGCTAATTTGATTATTATATTGTAAATATTTTTGTAAACCTTGTGATGAAATAATTTTGTGATGAAAGAAAAAAAAAAAAAAGAAAACAGAAAAATTTTATTTAAACATTTGTTTAATTTTTCTTTTCTTTTCTTTTCTTTTTTTTTAATTAATTAATTCATTATTTTTCTTAACACATTCGCTCTCAATCATATTTTATTATAGTTTATCTTATTAATTGCAATCAAAGAGGGATATTCATCAAGTCAATGTGTCAACTAAACTAACAAGCAATTGGATTTAATACATTAAGCAAATACATTTAAAAAAGCTAACTTTGATGACATTATTTATTTAATAAAAAAAAAAAAAAAAGCAAATGAATAAATAATATTGAATGCTGCAAAAAACGCAATAATAATAATAATAATAATAATAATATTATAAGAAAGTTTGTTCATATTAAATGATTTCCCCCCTTAAATAAGATAAAGTCAACGTTATAAAAAAAAAAAGCTGATTGTGCAAGCTAAACAAAAGTGAACTTTCCATTGGAACGAACAAACACAACCACAACACAAAATGAATGTATGTAAGCATGTATTTAGTTAGTACATTTACGGTTGTTAAAGTCAGCGAACCTAAAAGTTGCATAAAACAAGACTTGGACATGCTCTTAATCCCACTATTATGCAACTTTCATGCCATTTCTAACGGTAAACATCAAGTGTAACGAGCTCGATATATACTTTTCTTAATATATCTCTATCTCTAATTATAACATTATTTTTTTCTTTCTTTTAACGTTATTATGTATATAATATTTATATATATATACATATATATTTAATAAATTAATAATATTTGTAATGTATATTAATTTTGTTACCTTTAATTTTAATTATATTTTTAATTATAATTAATAATGCAATATATATATATATATATAATATTTGTTTCTTCTAAATTTGCATTAATGTAATATTTTTTTATTATCAAAAATCTACACACATAAACAAAACTAAATACAGAAATATGCACATTCAATTTAAAAAAAAAGTACTTATATATAGTTTATTAAAAATAATAAAAGAACTATATATAAATACGTAGAGAGAGAGAGAGAGAGAGAGAGAGAGAGAGAGGGGGAGAGAGAGAGAGAGAATATGTTACACTTGTCGTTCATTTTCCTTTCCTAACACATTCCCGTTAATTGTAAAACGCGCAAAATTGTCATGGCATAGCAACTCACTTGGATTTAGACTGCATTTCTCCTGCAGCTGAAGCTGCATCTCTACGGTGCAACCGCATACTGACCCTTCGTTCTTGGCCACCTGCACCCGATGCTGAAAGAGAGCATCAGTAAAAACATAATGCATGAAAAAACCATAATGAAAACAACGGCCCGCTTTTTTCTACTTGTTATTATTATTATCATCGAACATGTTTTTATTTTCTTTTTCATTTTCTATTTTTTTTTTTGTTCATCCTTTCAAAAACATTCGCACAAATTAATCAATTCACTTGCATCATCAGTGTACAAAAAAAAAAAAAACTAACTAACAAACAAACAAACAAACAAGGGACAAAAATGAGAAGAATAATTAAATAATTGAATGATAGAAAAATCTTTAGAAGAGAATAATCATCTTCTTCTTTGATCATCTGGTTTTGTAAATTGAAACAACAACAACAACAACAAAATCCAAATGATATTCTAAAAATTCATATATAAGAATGAATTCAATCTCAATCAATGAATTTTAATCAGTATCGTTAACAAAAAAAAAAAAAAAAAAAAAAAAAAGGAAAGAAGCTCTCTCACAATAATTCAAATATGCCTTACAATATTAAGTCGAGTCATGAGTAACTTCCAATGAGTCTATGTAGAATCTATTTTTCGTATTTACCTATTATAAGTCACCGAAACAAACGGATTTTCAATATCACTGTATAGATGAGAATTCAGTTTAGTCTTCTATCAACTTTTTTATACAGTCAATGTTACATTTAACCGGTTTTTCTTAACCCACTGAAATGGGATAGTAAAAAGTGCATATTCGACATGTAATACTTGAAGAATTGAAACAAGGCAATTAGCACTAAAGTGGCAAACTGAAAAAATATACAGCGTTATACAGTGCAGGACTGAT